TTAAATATTGCATGATTTTGAGTATATGATAAGTTCTTGCTGCCATATGAAAATGAATCTAAATTTAAAGCATCATCATGTACTTGTAATTTTAAAAGGTTAAACATTTTCGTTCTGTGTTCGTTATATGGGGAACAAACAGACATGGAGTGGTAAACATTTTCACATAAATTCCCACATTGACATTTTGAATCTGACCTAATGCCAACATTATATAGATCGTAATTCAATTCACTTACATGATATCTTAAATGAGTATGAATATTTTTTGTTTGCGGATACCTGTAGAAATATATGCTGGTACCATGACAATAGGTTTCTTCAAATATGATTTAAACGTCTCTGTTGATGGTAACATTCGCTTTTCTAATGGGATATTATTCCATGATATTGTCGTTGATGAGATAAAAGATTGACATGAGTGTTTAAGTCTATATGATGGTCTTACACAATTTTGTAAGGAAGTTCTGAGGAAGTATATCTATCAGATTAGAAGGTACATTACCACATTTCATTTTATGATATAATGTTAACTTTCTTCTTTCCCTACGTACTGATAATGTTTCACACCCAGTTTCACAATAGAGATATTTAAGTGATGTATAGTTTGGTAAACCAGTGACAATACGGGCTGCTTCCAGTTGTAGTTGTTCTAGTCTCAATGACTGTTCAGAATTACACCCATCCCAAACCTCGCAGGCATATTCAAAATGTGGTCTGATAAACATAATATAAATCTTATTCAAAATTTGGCTACATAGTAAGAATTTTAATTTACGCGTGGAGTTTATCATCTTAGAGCTTGATATTACTATTTGGTCAATATGCTTATTCCATTTTCCATCTGCCGAAAACGTTAGACCTAAGGTTTATGCTCATTTACATTACTGACTGACTTACTGACTGACTGAGTTTGGTTTTACGCCGCTTTTAGTAATATTCCAGCAACTTCACGGCGGGGGACACCAGAAATGGGCTTCACACATTGTACCCATGTGGGGATTCGAACCCGGGTCTTCGGCGTGTCATTTACATTACTAATTTCACATCCATCAAAGTATAAAGTTATGCTATCACTTTGTTTCTAAGGGTAAAAATGATAGCTTCTGTATAATTTGGATTATATTTAACCAGCCAAAGTTTTCCCCCAAAAGCTCAGCTTCTGTAGGTTGGAGTAAAAAGTAAACTCAAACAGTCTATGATCAATTGATGCAAATCCAAGTGATGTATCATCAGCAAACATCCTTGTCAAACAATCTAATTCATCAGCAATGTCATTTATGAAAATAATAAAAAGAAATGGACCCAATACTGATCCTTGGGGAACACCAGCTATCAAATATACCGGCTTGGATAATGCTCCATTCACAAAGACAGATTGCCTACGATTGCTTACATAACTTGACAACCACTGGAGCATGCTTCCTTTTAAACCATACATTTCCAATTTACACATAAGCCCCTTGTGCCAGACACGATCGAAGGCTTTGGAAACATCACAAAACACCATACAAAATATTTCCTTATTATCCAAAGATAGACATATTTGATTATACAATTCAAGTAATTGATATACGGTTGAGTGGCCTTTTTGTAAAACCAGCTTGGTACTTATAAGGTAAATTATTACAATGAAAATAATTACACAAATGTTTATAGACTACTCTTTCAAATACTTTTCCCAGACAATTTATGAGAGATATTGGTCTGTAATTTGAAACAGTGGAATGGTCACCTTTTTTAAATAATGGCAATAGATGTGCTACTTTCCATTTATTGGGATTCGTAGAGAATTGCAGTAAGTAATTGAATAAGAGACATAAACTTTACTTATTGAATCAACTGTTTTCTTGAGTAACTTATGGCTTATTCTATCTGGACCACAAGCCTTTTTCTCAGGTAAACATTCAATAATATCAGAAATTTCCTTTTGAGTTATAACGATGTCACATAACTCCTTATCAGTGCGTTTCCCAAAGTATGGTAAAATTTTATTGCCATCTTCTAACGTAGATACAGATTTAAAATATACATTCAACTTGGTAGCTTTTTCAAAATCAGTGAATAAGGATGGCCCATCTTCATTGTCATTGTTTTTTAGAGGTGATATATCTGACGTGACCTCTGATTTTCTAACTACATGACGTAGAATTTCCCAGTATGATGATTTGTTAACTGTGTATAACTCAGTGAGTAATTCATCTACATTTCCATAAAACATTTTCTTTGGCATAATACTTCATATTGTTTACTCTGTTTCTTGTAAGCTAGGGTGTCATTTTCCTTTCCAGTTCTTTTTGCTTGCTTTCTTAACCTATCTCGACGTCTACATTCACGTCTAAGTTCTAAATCAAACCATGGTTTGTGGTTTGGTCTTGTAGAAACTACTTTTGTTGGAATACACTTTCTAATCACCTCATCTAGTCTCTCATAGAAAACAGTACTCATGTCATCTACATTATCATATCTGTTAAATAAGTCATCCCAATCTAAACCATTTATAAGACTGTTCAAAATGACGAAATCTGCCTGGTTGTAACACCATACCTCTTTTTTGTAAGACTTTTTTGTCTATAAATTTTCATTGATTGATATGAAGGTTCCCTTGTGGTCAGATATGTTTCTATCAAAGTCAATCACACCACAATCACTGACATTTACATCATCACCTACTATAAAGGGGTCCAACAGAGTACTAGTTGTTGCGGTTACTCTAGAAGGGTCTTTAATTACGTTTCTTAATTGATTTCGTTCAAAGGTATTCTTCAGCTGACAACTCTTACCTGCTTACAGATTTTCATTCAAATCGACACTTTTATTTCTTTTGTTTGTCAGTTTACTATAGCAGATATAACCTGATATACGTTTTCAGGTCACATATGACTTGTATGGAGCTAGTCTTTCATGCATTCCATGAAAAACGTTTCTAATCTTGTGAAGTCGACATTTTGTCTATCCATTCATATCTTTCAAGTCAATGTACTGTGAATTTATAAGTTGCATTATACCATTCAAAAAAGGTAGGGGATACTGTATTAACAAGACTGATAAAATGCAAATGATGAAGTCAAGGAGGAAACAGATGATGAAGAGAAATTAAGGAAAATGTGACAATTTATTCCATTCCTTTGGAAATGTTTCATCTGTATGGATAAATATTACTTTTTCTCATATGCATTGGCATTGGCATTGGCTAGTGGTATGCTCGGAAAATGGAATATCCTCTACTTTCTTTAATGGTATATTTTTCGCGGAGCCCTTATTGGGAAATATCCTTCTGTGAGAGAGATATGTTTTTTGTGAACTGAGATAATTTGTACCCCTCAGCAATGCCGAGTAGACCATGGACCACGTACTTGTCTGAGACGCTGATCCTGTCAATCACTGCGGCCTGTCAGTAGTTTGATTGACAGGTTGTTCTGATGGTATGTTTCATGGGTCTAAGAGAACAACACGACACCATGTCTGAATAGTTGTCACTGGATTTAATGCAAAACATCTCGAGGAAACACACATGGTATATCCTGTGTATATCTACATTGTATCTGTATACATGGTGCGCATGCACACACACACACGCGCGCGCGCACACACACACACACACACGCACACACACACACACACACACACACACACACACACACACACACACACACACACACACACACACACACACATACACCCACACGTGAACATATCCAAGATTCACTACTTTCACACATACAATGTACCCCCGCAGATCTGCCAAGATGTATACTATGACATTTCATTTCTTGGACTTTAAAAGGGGCACGCACCTTTAAAAGCGCTCGTAAAATCTCCTTCGTTTCTTTTATGTGAGGGGTCAACACATACGTGTTGAGGGAGAATGCGACTGAAATTCGTTACAGGTAAATAGTGTAAAGATTCCAAACACTAGCTCGTAATTATTATGAATACACACATAATATATCTTAAATCATTATATATTACACAATTTCATATACACGAAAGCAGGAAACCTAAAGGAGAGAACCGAGAAAGGAGAGGACTCCACTCCACTTTTCAATAAAAGATTACAATTAATGATCACCAAATTAACACGCTTTTTGGGAGTCAGATGTTTCATTAAAAAGTGGTTAATTGAATAGAAAATATGTTGCTTCATTAAAATGTACAAACATTGGGTAGCCGCATTAGCGCTTAGTTAATACTTTAAGCATAAACATGTTTTTATTGTACTCCACAAATCTAAGCGTTTTAAAAATTAAAAAAACCCAGAAATACATGCATGACAATCAAATGTGCCTTTTCAGCTCAAATTCATATTGTCGGCATCAAGTTGTAATAACATTCATAAACGAGTCTTAATTGAAACAGGGGCGGTGGGGTAGCCTAGTGGTTAAAGAGTTGGCTCGTCACGCCGAAGACCCGGGTTCGAATCCCCACATGGGTACAATGTGCCCATTTCTGGTGTCCCCCGCCGTGATGTTGCTGGAATATTGCTAAACGCGGCGTAAAACCACACTCAGTCAGTCAGTCAGTCTTAATTGAAACAAAATAGTTTTACACAAACGTACCCAGTCAGATTACCTGAACAAACTCTCGCAGGAATGAATTACGGTTGTTTTACACGCATAGCCAAATTTATCACAAGTTCTTTTGATTTTCAGTTACATGGAAACAACTTTCCTTTGTTTCTAAGTTTAATCAAATGTGTATTTCTAGAGAAAATGGGCTTATAGGTGAATCTCTGTGTCACGGTATCGGAGACAAGCACTCCAAAGCTGGAGGATCTTTCTGGTAGCCATGGTTACATTAACTTCAGTTAGTGACTGATGTAGTGAGTGAGTTGAGGTAAACGAAAAGAGTATTTCACACATCACTCTACTCTAAACCATGGAATAGTTTAAACGATATCATAGGCATATAATCAGATTTATATATGTACATATTTACACCTGGCTTTGACCTCTAAAGCGTACTCAAGCTTAGTCAAACGTGAACTAACAACTATCAAGTTAATCGAGAACTTCCACATCCAAAATGGACAATGTCCCTGATACGGAGCCTCCGACAAACAGGATAGCTTTTCCTGTTGGACTCTTGGACGCATGGACAAACCTGGAAACAGAATAAACAAAAGTGAGTGAGTGAGTGGGTGAGTGAGTCACGCTCACAAACAAATGCACGCACACGTACATGCACGCACGCACGCACGCATCGGGTATGCGAATGGTGATGTAAATCTTTCGAGAGGATTGCCAACATAGTGAGTGAGTGAGTATTATTTACGCCTCTTTTAGCAATATTCCAGCAATACCACGACGGGGGACACCAGAAATGGGCATCACACATTGTACGCATGTGGGGAATCGAACCCAGGTTTTCGGCGTGACGAGCGGACGCTTTAACCGCTAGGCTAACCCACCGCCCCATTACCAGCAAATGTTCAAGTGTCACTCAACGTCTTCATTACATAGACCATTTCTGGTGTCCCCCGCCGTGATATTGCTGGAATATTGCTAAAAGCGGCGTAAAACCAAACTCAGTCACTCACTCATTCATTACATAGTATAATAGCTAAACCTACGAAACATCCATCAATCGTTATCATCCATCACTTGTACTAAACCGCATGAACTTTAATACATGCTGTTTTATGCCGCATTAACCAACACAACAACGTCAAGTAAGAGTTCGAGACGGGCTCAGACAAACCAACTGTTGATACTGTAGGTATAGATCCTTGCCCTCCTGGCATGGCATACAATAAGATATGTCACATGACATGACGACCAGATTCTTTTTTCAGTTGACATGGGGTGGCAGAGCCTATTCCGTCCCACGATCCAAGCAGGTTTGGAACTTACTTCATGTCCTCGCAGTCGATCTCCGTGAGATCCCGGTCATCATACATCTGCTGCCAGGTTCTTCCTCGAGTCTCGGGGATGCCGGAATAGATGTGCTGGAACTTCGGATGACTCAGGTCATCCTTGACGGAGTATGTGAAGATGGTGCCGGGTCTCTCGTTGGCGGCGAAGAAGAGCGTGTAGCCATCTACCTCCCCTACTGCAACTGACTCAGTCTCCGGGCCCTGGGGGGATAAGGTATTGGAAAGTTATGAAGTGGAATGGGTGAGTATGGTTTTACGCCGCATTTAGCAACAATGCAGCAATATCACGCGGGGGACACCAGAAATAGCCTTCACACATTCTACCCATATCAGGAATCGTACCAGGTCTTAAGCTTGACGATCGGACGCTTTAACCATAATACTACACCACCACCCCGATATGAGCGGATTAATTCAGAAAAATAAACTGGTCTGACTGTCAAAGTCTGGTTTTGCAGGCGTTAGACTTTTATCGCTTTGACAAACCATGGATCGTAATTAGACTCATAGCGGATCCTGCAGTAAACCCGTGGAAGGTAATTACGGCCACTTCGCCGGATCAACCGTCTAACCAGGATGGAACGTCAAAGGCTTAAAAGGGCGGTGAGGTATAGCTACCGTCCGTTTGATTTCATTAGAGACCGATGAATTGCTCACTTACACAAAATCTAATAATTGCAACAGAACCAAATGTTGTACAGTCATATAAAATGGACAGACCAACTCTGATGATTTGTCTCATAATTTTGGACACCCGAATAAAAAAGTTCTTTAACAAACGATAACTATTTTGGTGTCACTTTTCGCTAATTTTTAAGGGGGAGGACCACTTGGTAGTAGAACAGCTTATACAAGCAATACAAGTAGGCGATTATCATTATTATTAAAGCGTTCACCCGTTACGCCTAAAATCCGGGTTCGATTCCGCACATTAGTCCAATGTGTAAAGCCCCTTTCTGGTGTTCCCTGGCGTAAAGATAGCTTACGGTACAGTTTGAAAGACCACATAGAAATATACAGATTTCATTGGCCACATCATAGCATACTAGTAATTCTGAACACATTCTAAAAAGTCACAAACGTGAACAGCCTACCTTGTCATCAGATCTAGTGTCAAAATCATCGACAGGTCGATTATGTACATTATCGATTTCACAATTAAAGAGGTCATGTTCTGTTCTCAGTGTTCTTTCTGCGATGTCGTTGCCGCTGTCGTAGATGAGAGACATGTCTTCCGCTCTTCTGATAGACCAGCCTCTTCCGCCAAACACATACATGTCCTTCAAGAATCCCTGACTGTCTTTTTCCGCTGGACTAACAGCAAATTTGAGGCGTCCTGTGCAATACAACACACACATCTGTAGACATGAAACTCACTTATTCCGTGGACAGTTGGGGTTTAGTTCCAACTATATGGCGGCGGGCTGTAACTTTTCGCGTGTGGACCAAACAATCAAGTGATCAACATCATGAGCATCAACCTACGTTACTGGGATACGATCACGTGTTAACCAAGTCAGCGAGCCTGACCACCCGATCCCGTTTGTCGCCTCTTACGACAAGCATGGGTTACTGAAGACCTATTCTAACTCGGATCTTCACAGGTGTAGGGTTTAGCCAAGGGATTAAATGGTTCGCTTGCCATATCGAAGGACCAGGTGTAGATGGATATTTGTTATCAGTTGAAATGTACAGCGAGTTTGTTTTGTAACTGAAATTTGAAAATTGGTGGTTAAAAGGGGTTTAACGTCGTACTTAAGAATATTTCGCCCATATGACGACTTGCATGCATGTGTATGTGTATACTAGCCCAGACTTAAGCTGGTTTTATAGTGCTAGCAGTTGAGCATGAATACCCCACTCAGACACATTATACTGACTCCGAGCCGACCAGTCCTTTTCGTACCCATTAATGCCGAGCGCCAGGCAGGGACCAACAAGTACCATATTTTAACATCTTTTGGTATGACGCGGCCGGGGATTGAACCCGCCTTCTTTCGGTCTTCGGGCGGACGCTCTAACCATTACACCACGGAGGCGGTCGAAAGAACTGTTAGATTATGTAGTGTGAGCATCACTCGTTCCGGCAACAGTTTCCAAAAGGTAAACTGTGACTGGGTAATTATGGGTGAAAATGTAATGGTTCCATGACGACTGGGGTAAGGAATGTACAGATTTTAGACAAATTATATTTTCCCTAAAACCAATGAGTCATATTCTTTATAAATAAATAAAGTTATAAATCACATATATGATAAACCTTACATAAAAATATAGTTTATTTCGTTTCTCAGACTGGTATGATATTTATTGTAGTATATTTGTAGTTTGGCTTGGTTTGGTTTGGTTTGGTGTGGTGGCGTGGCGGTATGGTAAGGGTGTGGCGTGGCGTGGCGTGGCGTGGCGTTGTGTGTGTTCTGGTTTGTTGTGATGTGGTGTGTGGTGTGGTATGGTAAGGGCGTGTGGGCGTGGTGGCGTGGCGTGGCGTGGCGTGGTTTGGTGTGTTCTGGTGTGGTGTGTGGTGTGGTATGGTACGGCGTGGCGTGGCGTGGCGTGGCGTGGCGTGGCGTGGTTTGGTGTGTTCTGGTGTGATGTGATGTGGTTTGTGGTGTGGTATGGTACGGCTTGGCGTGGCGTGGTTTGGTGTGTTCTGTCGTGATGTGGTGTGTAATACAGTACAACCTATGTTACATTTGGGTTTACATTTGCATATTACAGTACAGAATAAAGTACATATTTGGGTTTAGGTCTCATATTTCGGACCCTAATCACCAGCATATGAATCAGCCGCTCAGCCACGCAGCTTCCACAAAATGGAAGTCTGACAACGGGTCGTCTAGATATATCACGCACTTTAAGTACTACCTTGACAAGTGGAAATTGGCCCAGCTGCCATGACAGAGCCTGTGAATCACAATGCATTATAGAAAGTGGTCCAATGCAACATTTGTTATATTTGGGACTGTGTATTTGTGTAATGTATTTCTTCCCTCTGTTATGAATATAATCCCTGACTGTCTTTTCCGCTGGACTAACAGCAAATTTGAGGCGTCCTGTGCAATACAACACACACATCTGTAGACATGAAACTCACTTATTCCGTGGACAGTTGGGGTTTAGTTCCAACTATATGGCGGCGGGCTGTAACTTTTCGCGTGTGGACCAAACAATCAAGTGATCAACATCATGAGCATCAACCTACGTTACTGGGATACGATCACGTGTTAACCAAGTCAGCGAGCCTGACCACCCGATCCCGTTTGTCGCCTCTTACGACAAGCATGGGTTACTGAAGACCTATTCTAACTCGGATCTTCACAGGTGTAGGGTTTAGCCAAGGGATTAAATGGTTCGCTTGCCATATCGAAGGACCAGGTGTAGATGGATATTTGTTATCAGTTGAAATGTACAGCGAGTTTGTTTTGTAACTGAAATTTGAAAATTGGTGGTTAAAAGGGGTTTAACGTCGTACTTAAGAATATTTCGCTCATATGACGACTTGCATGCATGTGTATGTGTATACTAGCCCAGACTTAAGCTGGTTTTATAGTGCTAGCAGTTGAGCATGAATACCCCACTCAGACACATTATACTGACTCCGAGCCGACCAGTCCTTTTCGTACCCATTAATGCCGAGCGCCAGGCAGGGACCAACAAGTACCATATTTTAACATCTTTGGTATGACGCGGCCGGGGATTGAACCCGCCTTCTTTCGGTCTTCGGGCGGACGCTCTAACCATTACACCACGGAGGCGGTCGAAAGAACTGTTAGATTATGTAGTGTGAGCATCACTCGTTCCGGCAACAGTTTCCAAAAGGTAAACTGTGACTGGGTAATTATGGGTGAAAATGTAATGGTTCCATGACGACTGGGGTAAGGAATGTACAGATTTTAGACAAATTATATTTTCCCTAAAACCAATGAGTCATATTCTTTATAAATAAATAAAGTTATAAATCACATATATGATAAACCTTACATAAAAATATAGTTTATTTCGTTTCTCAGACTGGTATGATATTTATTGTAGTATATTTGTAGTTTGGCTTGGTTTGGTTTGGTTTGGTGTGGTGTGGTATGGTAAGGCGTGGCGTGGCGTGGCGTGGCGTGGCGTGGTTTTGTGTGTTCTGGTTTGTTGTGATGTGGTGTGTGGTGTGGTATGGTAAGGTGTGGCGTGGTGTGGCGTGGCGTGGCGTGGTTTGGTGTGTTCTGGTGTGGTGTGTGGTGTGGTATGGTACGGCGTGGCGTGGCGTGGCGTGGCGTGGCGTGGCGTGGTTTGGTGTGTTCTGGTGTGATGTGATGTGGTTTGTGGTGTGGTATGGTACGGCTTGGCGTGGCGTGGTTTGGTGTGTTCTGTCGTGATGTGGTGTGTAATACAGTACAACCTATGTTACATTTGGGTTTACATTTGCATATTACAGTACAGAATAAAGTACATATTTGGGTTTAGGTCTCATATTTCGGACCCTAATCACCAGCATATGAATCAGCCGCTCAGCCACGCAGCTTCCACAAAATGGAAGTCTGACAACGGGTCGTCTAGATATATCACGCACTTTAAGTACTACCTTGACAAGTGGAAATTGGCCCAGCTGCCATGACAGAGCCTGTGAATCACAATGCATTATAGAAAGTGGTCCAATGCAACATTTGTTATATTTGGGACTGTGTATTTGTGTAATGTATTTCTTCCCTCTGTTATGAATATATTACAGTAAAATGCGTTAAGTCTGTCTTGAGCAGTTAAGCCATGTCACGACTAAAGGACGCCGAGTTAAAAGTTCACTCACCAAGCACAGTATTATTCCCCAGTTGAGCCTGTGTTGTGTAGTCGATATTCCGCCACACGTCTTTAACAGAAACGTTCAATACATGGGTAACATCATGAACATGGCCTACCGGAAGGGAACCACGAGTCTTTGGTAATCTATTCCTCTTTTCCATTAAAATATAATCAAATGCCTTTCTTTCAAGTTACTCATGGCGTTGAATGAAATTATATTTAATGTTAAACAAAATATAGGAATGGTATTGATAGAATTAATTTTATTTTACGTTGTCAAAATTTTGTATGATAGACTGACTGACTAACTGAGCTTGGTTTTACGCCGCATATTGCAATATTCCAGCAACATCACGGCGGGGGACACCAGAAATGGGCATCACACAGTGTACCCATGTGGGGATTCGAACCCGGGTCTTCGGCGTGACGAGCCAAAGCTTTAACCACTAGGCTACCCCACCGCCCCTTGTATGACAGAGATATCTGTTTGCTTACATATTGTTGCATACTTTGGGAACGGATAGCTGTGTCGCCGGAGCCACGAAATGTATCTATATTATTTTTGATGGTTTGTTGTCTAACGCCACACCCTGCAGCATCCCAGCTCTATATCGACTACCTCTTAATTATCGCGTCGGAACCAGACAATCCAGTGATCAACTTCATGAGCATTGATATACACAACTGGGAGTATATATATTATATACTGTTTAAAGAAGCGTTAAACCACTCGATCAAATGTATAGTTTGTATCGATAATGTGCTCGCACAGGACGTTAAGATATTATGTGTCAGCATATCTGAGTTATTGCATACCATGTGGTGGTATATCGGAACCACGTGACTCCTCCGACCATTGATAGCCGCCATACGAATAATCCTTGGAGTCTCCCTCGTTGGCGAGCACAAGATAGTTGCCGCCTTTGAACTGGAAGTGCACGAAGGTGTCCGGCTGGTACATGCCGTAGACGTTGTAGGCGTTCATGTGGGCACCTGCAGCAGGATGAAGTATCATCAGTGAAGGGAGAGTGTGGGTTTAATGTCATCATGACAATATCAGTGAAGGCGGAGAGCCGGTTTAATGTCATCATGGCAATATCAGTTCAGAGTGAGTGTGGGTTTAATGTCATGACAATATATCAGTGAAGGCAGAGTGTGGGTTTAATGTCATCATGGCAATATCAGTGAAGGGAAAGTGTGGGTTTAATGTCATGACAATATATCAGTGAAGGCAGAGTGTGGGTTTAATGTCATCATGGCAATATCAGTGAAGGGAAAGAGTGGGTTTAATGTTATCATGGCAATATATCAGTGAAAGCAGAGTGTGGGTTTAATGTCATCATGACGATACCTGTTCATTGTGAGTGTGGGTTTAATGTCATCATGACAATATCAGTGAAGGGAGAGTGTGGGTTTAATGTCATCATGACAATATATCAGTGAAGGCAGAGTGTGGGTTTAATGTCATCATGGCAATATCAGTGAAGGGAAAGTGTGGGTTTAATGTCATGACAATATATCAGTGAAGGCAGAGTGTGGGTTTAATGTCATCATGGCAATATCAGTGAAGGGAAAGAGTGGGTTTAATGTTATCATGGCAATATATCAGTGAAAGCAGAGTGTGGGTTTAATGTCATCATGACGATACCTGTTCATTGTGAGTGTGGGTTTAATGTCATCATGACAATATCAGTGAAGGGAGAGTGTGGGTTTAATGTCATCATGGCAATGTCAGTGAAGGGAGAGTGTAGGTATAATGTCATCATGGCAATATCAGTGAAGGGAGGGTGGGTTTAATGTCATCATGACTATATCAGTTCAGAGTGAGTGTGGGTTTAATATCATCATGGCAATATATCAGTGAAGGCAGAGTGTGGGTTTGATGTCATCATGGCAATATCAGTGAAGAGTGAGTGTGGGTTTAATAGTCACCATGACGATATCAGTGAAGAGTGGGTGTAGGTTTAATGTCATCATGACTATATCAGTTCAGAGTGAGTGTGGGTTTAATATCATCATGGCAATATATCAGTGAAGGCAGAGTGTGGGTTTAATGTCATCATGGCAATATCAGTGAAGAGTGAGTGTGGGTTTAATAGTCACCATGACGATATCAGTGAAGAGTGGGTGTAGGTTTAATGTCATCATGACTATATCAGTGAAGAGTGAGTGTGGGTTTAATGTCATCATGGCAATATCAGTTCAGAGTGAGTGTGGGTTTAATGTCATCATGACAATATCAGTGAAGAGTGAGTGTTGGTTTAATGTGATCATGACAATATCAGTGAAGAGTGAGTGTAGGTTTAATGTCATCATGACGATATCAGTGAAGAGTGAGTGTGGGTTTAATGTCATCATGGCAATATCAGTGAAGAGTGAGTGTAGGTTTAATGTCATCATGGCAATATCAGTGAAGAGTGAGTGTAGGTTTAATGTCATCATGTCAATATCAGTGAAGGGTGAGTGTAGGTTTAATGTGATCATGACGATATCAGTGAAGAGTGAGTGTGTGTTTAATGTCATCATGGCAATATCAGTGAAGAGTGAGTGTGGGTTTAATGTCATCATGGCAATATCAGTGAAGAGTGAGTGTGGGTTTAATGTCATCATGGCAATATCAGTGAAGAGTGAGTGTTGGTTTAATGTCATCATGACGATATCAGTGAAGAGTGAGTGTTGGTTTAATGTCATCATGACGATATCAGTTCAGAGTGAGTGTGTGTTTAATGTCATCATGGCAATATCAGTGAAGAGCTAGCGTAGGTTTAATGTCATCATGACGATATCAGTGAAGAGTGAATGTGGGTTTAATGTCATCATGGCAATATCAGTGAAGAGTGAGTGTGGGTTTAATGTCATCATGACAATATCAGTGAAGAGTGAGTGTAGGTTTAATGTTATCATGGCATTATATCAGTGAAGGGAGAGTGTAGGTTTAATGTCATCATGGCAATATATCAGTGAAGGGAGAGTGTAGGTTTAATGTCATCATGACAATATCAGTGAAGGGAAAGTGCGGGTTTAATGTCATCATGGCAATATCAGTGAAGAGTGAGTGTGGGTTTAATGTCATCATGACAATATCAGTGAAGAGTGAGCGTGGGTTTAATGTCATCATGACAATATCAGTGAAGGCAGAGTGTGGGTTTAATGTCATCATGACAATATCAGTGAAGGCAGAGTGTGGGTTTAATGTCATCAGGGCAATATCAGCGAAGGCAGAGTGTGGGTTTAATGTCATCATGGCAATATCAGTGAAGAGTGAGTGTGGGTTTAATGTCATCATGGCAATTTCAGTTCAGAGTGAGTGTGTGTTTAATGTCATCATGGCAATATCAGTGAAGAGTGAGTGTGGGTTTAACGTCATCATGACAATATAGGTGAAGAGTGAGTGTGGGTTTAATGTCATCATGACAATATATCAGTGAAGGGAGAGTGTAGGTTTAATGTCATCCTGAAATATCAGTGAACGGTGTTATGTAGGTTAAATAACAAACATTGAGATGGCTGTGTATGGGATGTAACCTTCCCGTGTTCCTAGTTGTTTGTGTCAATTGGAAAACGCCCTGTTTCCTGCTTGATGTGTTAATGTTGTACGAAAGCTTACCGCCGTCCTTATCACTTGGATCCAGTTTTAATGAGCTCCAGTTCTTATATCCCAGCCCATACACCTCCGATATTGTCTGAGTCTCGAGGTCAACAGTCGCCACAGCATTGTTCTCCTGTCAACAATAGTTACATCTTTAGCGGAACTATACGTGAGTGAACTGACAAGAAGTGTGTTTAGCGTCGCATAGAACATGACAGGATGATGGCGGCAGGATCGTCAAGATGACGTTGATCTGATATGTTTATTAACGCAACTAATAGAACACGAATCCCAATCGTGGCAATCCAACCACGAGTAATGTCTTATTTACCATTTAACCATTAAAGTTGTTTCTCATAGTTAGGACCCCAGCTATATGATTATAACTATGTCTTAGCAGCTTGAGGATTATCATTATCATACCAGAACCACCCCACAACACATCACACATTCCCATCCTCCATCTTCCTAATATGTAAAACATAATAAAATGCAATGCAATGAAATAAAATAATTTATTAATAGGCACCACATTGTAGTATAGCTAATATATTTCGTGGCGATCTACCTAAGATATTCTGTGCATAGAGTGAAATGGTCGGAGTACTTTTGAATATTCTAAAAAGTCCTTGGTTTATAATGCCCGCGTCGTTCCAAAGCCACAACACAAATTGTCTTGGCCGATTTCGGCCAATATTTTATTTGATAAAAATGGAAATCTGTGTTTAAAATGTAAACTTCGAAATTAGAACGACGGGCAGTCTATATCGAGGGGTTAAATGAATCTTCCCCAGAAAGGTATAACTTTGCTTTTTGTTTTGTAATGTTTGCCTGACAACGCATATTAACACTAAGGACCAGAAACAAACTCGACAGGCTCTATCTTAATGGCATTATAATTTATGCAGCTATGTTCTGTATTACCCCAGCTTGCAGTACATACGCAATGATGGGGCGGACAAGGTTATCATATAAAGTATTAAATACCTCATAGGACATTCCTCTGACAGAGTTAAATGTATTAAGGAAGGTTTGGTTTCAGAGAAATATATCTATTGATTATAGTAATACATCAAGAGTATTTCCGAAGCCCAGTCCAGTTTTAATACGCTGTTTAACCATATTGCAGCACAAAGCTATTCATTTAACTGTAGTGTTGATAGTGATGACGACCCTCCAGTGTATCAACACCTTACCTGCAGCATTATGTACGCCTTGCTGTCGTCAGCGTTGATGGCGATGTATTCGGGTTCCACGTCGTGGGAGAAGGGGGTTATTGTTCGCTTGGTGCGCGTGTCGGACGCCGGAACCTGCCAGGAATGGTACTCTACGAACCAAGAAATGCATTACCCTGTCTGTGAATGTGTAGCAGGCTGAACGTAATGGATTAGGATAGGATCCTATGCTGGCCTGTACCGTGTCTGAGTGTAAGTAAGTAAGTAAGTAAGTAAGTAAGTAGGTAGGTAAATAAAAAAGGAGCACGGGCCAAGCGAACCAGTGGTTGCTGACATGAGCAAATACCTCGGATATGTGAAACGTTTACTTAGACACACGCACGCACGCCCCTAACACATTTCTTTCTTCCTTTGATGGATCCTGTCTCAGATCTATTCTATTACTCGTTTATTATACGTCGACATACACTAGTTTCGCGCTGATTGCTTTCTGCAAGGGGAACCAAACACAGATGGAAATAACTTCCAAGTTCTAAATTGTCGGTGACAGTCTATACCTATCGTTAAATCGTTCAAAATCCAGCGTGGATATTATCATGTCGGTCCCGATACCCCAGGGGAAGTTGACGATGACGACGAGTCCCGGGGGGTCAGTGATGTGGTTTGGGGGGTACTCGTACGCCTCGCCCTCCACGGCTACGACAATCTTCTTACAGTCCTTCGTCGGCTTGACCATGTCTGGAATAGCGCCCACTGGAACAGAGAGATATGATGATATGAGATATGATGCCCAAGGTCATTATATGATACGCAACATGAGTGAGTGAGGTAAACGGATTTTACAGCCCTACAGCTTAACCAAAGTGGCATTAGGTTTGTGCCTCTGAAAATGTGATATTGGGGCAATATCTAACCAGTCTCATAACGACTGATTTGAGACCTCTTGTTTGAAGTTAGTTTGACCCCAAGGCTATGTACCGTTTCTGACGTGAATAGTCTAGAATTTCATCAAATTCTAAAGCCATTTTTAAATCGCCATTATGTTGTCCTAAACGAGCCTTGCCAACAATGTCACTTTCATAGCTACTGTTGTGGTATATTTATGACTTCATCGTAGTCAGATGACCGTGATCTTTATAAGCTTTGGTCCAGAGACGAAAGAGCACTTTTCAAGACCGACCACTCACGAGGCCTCGTCTACATTGAACTTTCAACAGCTGTCAACAAACTTCAATCAGTATATCTACAAGGATCAAGACTTGGTGACTACAGACATTTAGTCAATACTTTAGATTTGTGACCCAATCGTGTTGTATTAGAAATCTGTACTGTCATTCATTGTAACCTTGCTTATATTTTATTCAATATATAATTGAATAATAAACTCGGTTGTGTTTTATTTTGCTGGTTTAAACGGGACTCACAAGCCTTTTATAGCAGTAATTTCTAAACCGTATAAAAAATTACTTCCTACTGAGCCCCGCACAGCGACCCCTTATACACAGGAAAATACAACTAGTCATCATTAACGTTACGTGTGACCGTTGTCTACACATCATACCTGTTGCTACATACACACTTTGGATAATAAATGACAAAACAAATTCGTGATAATTGACTGTTCCATTTCATTAATGCTTCTCTGACCTTGAACTTGAAGAACTTCATTGATCTGTTTGGTGGCGGGGTTGTATTTCAAGACTATCATCTTGCCATTGGCTCGGTCTGTTCTGTTGTCCATGGCCGTGAAGATGTGACCCCCGCAGAACTCCACGTCCGTGAACTCCATGCCCGGATATTCCAGGTGGGCCGCGACCTTCATATTGTTGGGGTCAGACACGTCGATAGCGTGCACGACCGTGTCACCTGGCAACAACAAGGAAATAAAAAGATGAAATCATTGATGTCAACGAGTTCAAATGGTTAAAACTGCTCTTCGGGTGTAGTAGCACATGCAAATGTTTGACCCTACACAGGACACTATAATTTCAATTGTTCTTATCAAGTTTAAGATAGATTACAGTCCTCTCACGTGTAGGCTAAATGGCCGAGGTTTAAAGCTTTGGTTTGCAACACCGAAGGCCCTGGTTCGACTACCTGCGATTTGTGAAACCCATTCTGGTGCTCCAAGTGGTGGTATGTCTAGAATATTAGTAAAACCGGCGTAAAACCATACTCACTCACTGACCCATAACTTGAAATTATCTCAAGCGGTGTCAAGGCTTAGTCAGTCAGTCACTCACTCACTTACTCACTCACTCACTCGCCAACCCATCCATGTATTCACTCTTTGAGTCAGGTATGCTTTTCTCTGTTCACACCAAGCCTAAGGGGTCAACAAGTACACAACTCTATTGACACACAGGCTATGACCTTCTAAACCACAGTGTTTTACCTGATAGTACCAAGATTAAGATAGTGCCATCAAAGACAGTGATTTGCAATTTCGGTCTGTGTATGTAAATATGAAAAGCTTTTGCTCTAGAATGGGTATTGATTTTTGTTTTATAAATCTTTTCTAAATTCTAATTCTAATGATAATCTGCGACTGTATTACATTTCAACCGTCAACTGAAACTTATTGCTAAGCAGTTCTCATTTTCTAAACACAATCAACGTGACAAAATATGTTTCGTTTTTTCAATCTCGTTTCAAATCCATTTCAAACATGAAGTTAACAGCATGCAACAGAACCTCCAATAAATGTAACCTGTAAAGAAGTCATCATGAAATCAAAATACCGTATTACCTTTGATCAATATATACAAAAACGTTCGTGAAGAATATAGAAGTTCCAAATATGAAATAATATACAGTACGAGCAAACTGACTGATTAATTTTAACATTTCTGCTATAATTAGGTTAACACACTCTTTCCAGTGATCCATGCATATATTTTTCACAGCTATTTTCCCCTTTACCTCAGACAGAATCTGATTTTGAGGATATTGAAGGTTGAATGTTGTCTGACATTCTACGTTCTACATTTAAAGAACGCTTATAAATATTGTGTTCGACAACATATTAAATGTTCACCAACTTTCCAAATATTTTAGCCGACTTATATACACCTGTTCAACAATTACATCAACTTGATATGTCTCTCGTGTTTATGTCCTGTTGTGAATAACTGATGGTTCAACCTTTCCCCGTTTATCAAACTATTCTACCACCAACATCCCTTGATGAAGTTCCGAAAAAATACCAACAACGTTGAAAGATGGCAGATGTTTATTGTGCATGAGATAGGTATTCATTATATATTACGGCACACACACACACACACACACACACACGCACGCACGCACGCACGCACGCTCGCACGAACGAACGCACGCACGCACTCACACACGCGGGCATAACTATAGAGATGTAAACCACCATTTAACCCTTAACCTTTAAACAACGTCGCAAGACAAGGGACAACAAACATAACCATATTTTCAAATGCTTACATTTTGTATCTTCTCATAGAAACGGTCTTCTTTTCAGTTTTCATGTCATTTGTGTTATCCGTTGACGTAAACATATTTAACGGCAAGGATCCTATTTTCCTAATTTCAGTAACATGCAAAGACACCGAACTCACCGACTGTGTAGAGAATCTTGTTGTCAGAATCATATGACACCTGTTCCACTGACACTTCAAAGAGATCGTATTTTGGACCATTCTGGTAGGTGTACGGCAGATATAACGTCGATCGCCGCCTTAGTCGCACGTTAATATCAGCCTGAGCTACCGTTACCGTTCCAACAGCCAGACACATCAACAGTTTCAACATCGTGGACAGCATTCGATGTCTGGCGTGTGACGTTCTGAACACGATTGTTTGGTTTGGTGTGTGTAGGAAGCCTATATATGGAAGAAGGTAGCACGAGTTACACTCTCAGAAATCACGAGTGTTAACACTGATAATTCAATGTTGGCTTTCACATGGAGCAATGCTACACATATCTGAAAAGTTCTTTTTGATAAGGTGAAGTCGGTGAAACAGTTTTAAGATGTCTACTGAACAAGTAAAATCAGGTATTAGCTGTCTAAAGACCTTCTTAGTTAACAATCTGGATTTAAAGGCGGAAAACAATACAATTTTCATTGTCCTTGATCTGATCATGAGACTTTGACCAGAACCTAGATTTTCATACAATGGACTATCAATAAATATAAGTAGTACTACATATTTCGCACAGATGTATTTTGCTTTTTACATATTTTATTTTTGAATTTGAAAAAGGCTCTGTCGCTTGTATTTCATGCACAACGAAAAAAGCTAGAATGACCAACCTCGTATTTTCTGCTCCACGTGAAAGAGCAATATGCAGCCAAGAAGTTTGTTTAATAACAAAACACTCCTTGACTGATAGTTAAACCGCCATCAGGTGTGATACAAAATAACTCGTAGATGATGTGTTAACGTGTGTTAAAAACGTCAATGGAATGATGATACGGTAAATGCATCTCAGAGAATTTCTCATTTATAAATAATCGGTCTTCTGTCAAAGCATATTCCACAGTGACTAAAAGGCAGAATTGTCAAGAAACTGATATGGACCCAGGAAAGTCCGAGTAATCTAGTGTTGCGAGGATATTCACTTCCATTTGTTGTGTTATTGGCATTGGCTAATCACAGAAGTCTTATTAAAGGTACGGCAAAGTGTGGAGTGAGTGAGTGTGGTTTTACGCCGATATTAGCAATATTCCAGCAATATCATGGCAAAAGAAACCAGAAATTGGTCATGCGGGGAATCGAACCCGATTCAGCTAAAGTGTGGATGTGACCTCCAAAAGCTTCACTATTTTCTACACTTTTGTTATGAGGATGTGTTTTAGTCAATTAACTTTTAGCTATTATGGGTCACAAAAGGTTAAAGTGCTGAGTGTAGATTTGAACTGGCATCTTGAGCTTGAGCTGTGTAATTTCACCTGTTAAGAGTGGGCTGGGGAGTTTCCTCCCCTTTGTTGTCTATTTGCTTCCGGCGGATGCTTTGGAAGCTGTCAGAATTTTTTTAAATGATTGTGTTGTGGCGTGTTTTTGTTGGAATTCTTCAAAACTATATAATATGTACATTAGGGATGGTTGTTGAGATGAGGGACAACTGCTTTGGATTTACGCTCAATAGACCTATCACTCGTCTACATTGACCTAACAACAACTGACACCAATCTTCAATCAGTCATCTGTTTTCACTGGGAATATCAAACCTTTGGTGAGTTATTATTTTAGATTTGTGACCCAATATTTTAGATTTGTGACCCAATATTTTAGATTTGTGACCCAATATATTAGATTTGTGACTCAATTGTATCTGTACTGTCATTCGTTGTAACCTTGTTTATTCAATATATTTAGGAGATAAACCTACTGTGTGGGAAAATCAGAGGTATATAACGAAATTATAATAGCTCTAAATTTCATTTAAAACCGAACGCGTAGCGTGAGGTTTTAAATGAACAATTTAGAGCTATTATAATTTCGTTATATACCTCTGATTTTCCAACACAGTAGGTTTATCTCCATTCTACCATGACAATTTTATGAACAATTTCAGATGGAGCTCTTTCTTTGGTTACGAGTCAATACGTGAAGCGGCCTCGCATTCCAATCTCAAGTGGTATCGCCCGAAACGGGGTGTTTGGTGGCAAACCGTCAATGACTAACAAACTCCAGATTCAGTAATAACAAATCACGTTTTGTTTTTTCAATGCATCAATCACCAATCATTAACTGATAAGTTGGAAAACATATATCAAATAAGTTTAAAAAGCTTGGTTCACATTTGAAAATTCCACTGTAGACCATTTCCCTACCAGAATAGTGGCAGCAACCTCATGGCCTTGACCTTTTCTCGAAGTCATTGTTTACATTTGGAAAGATGCGACAGGAGAGCCACTGACAGTTTGCGCAAGGTTAACCTGATTATATGACTGAGATAGTCTTTGATATCTAATTACTGGTACTGGTACAACATTTAAGAGTAGGGGCGCTTTTGCTGTAACGAGAAGTCCGTGTTGTACCGAATTTAGATACTGTTGAAATGTGCGCCTTGTCAACTTGACGATTTCACGCACCTCTACGTCTGCGTGCGACAGCTGTGGTGACTCTTACACACTCATGTGTGTACTTTGTGCTCAAATTCGATTCTACGGATATTATTTTCTACATTTTGGAAAGTGTTTTGTGACCTAGTGGCTTCAAAGTGTAGTGAATTCAAATTGAATCGGATTCGCTGGCATGTTCGCGAGTCTGTTGACAAAGAGCCAGATTTGTGGTGATATTTCCGAAAGGATGGATCAGGACACGAGGGTGTACCTCTGGCATAAACACGGTAAGGTAATTAATTATACTTTAATAGACTACTTTAGATCAAGCAGTGTTATGGATAAGAGGGATCATGACTAAGCTAAATAACTTTTTCAACGATATTATACATTTAGAAAAAAAAAATGTTGGGCTAAACAGAACGGTTTGCAGATTCTGTAGATCTAATTGTGTTTTACTACCGCTAAATTTGAAACAGTACACATTTCAAAATATCATTTTGTTTGAATTGATAACCCAACTGTTTATTTATGTGGACGGAAGGCATTAAAATTTCTTCGGCGTTCGATGTTAATGCATCCTCCGTTACCGGATCAAGATCAGTGGCGATATCGTTGACGAAAGCTGATAATAAATTTAACACGGAAATTTTGTAGCAGTCTATTGCTGGATCTATTCTGACATAACATAGAATCAACGTAAACATATTTGTTTTTGCTGAATTTTTATTCGGAAAGCAGACGATGTTTTGATCTTGTTCGACTGAATATTTGTTTCCATGCTTTCGAAGTACTTTTGTATGTGTAAACACCTATTGCCGTGATTTACGCAAGTAGTGAGTCGTGCCCGTCATCGCTAAATCCATCTTTAAAGACATATGTGTAATTTCCGACAGTAAAATCGCCGTAATTTATCGATGCATCGGTAGGTTGTTTGCTGTCCGCCATGTTAGTGGGCAGACAAAAATAGTGCATTACCGTAAACCATGTATGATTGCGCACGGAAAACAGAGACCTGTATAACGTGATTATATACCTCTGAATGACTTTAATTAACCAATCACAATCCAGTGTTTACTGAAGTCATGGTAGAATGTTGAATATTATAGACTTGTCTGTGTTCTATTTTGCTCGTTTAAAGAGGACTCACAAGACTTTTGTCACGCTTATTTCTAAACCATATCACATTGTTTATTGCAGTTGTTCCCCTTTAAGTGTACATTCTGGCTTACTATAAGTATCACATTGTTTATGTATGGCAGATGTGATAAATTAACTTGTAGAGTCAACTGTATGGTTCTGACCACACCACGAGTATTTGGCAATAAATCACTATCAGGTAGTAATAATACCAGGTGTTCTCCAAATGGTGAGCGTATTCTGTGCTACCAGTGGCTTACGAGCAAGTGCAAGTCGACAGTTCACCTTGAATGCCCGGGGATATATGGTATACAGTCAATTAGCGAATTACATCATTGTTTTGGCTCCTGAAGCGCCACATTTCGTCAGTGATGTAGCCAAATAGAGCATATTTCAGTCAAACAGTTCGGGTGATATTGCGCTCTTATTACACATTGTCTTATTGGACAACCGGTCTAAAAAAGGCAGAAACGCACAGTGTATGACTTATATCAATTTATTCAAGAGACAGTTTGTTCATCAATAAATCAAACTATTGGCTAAAACACTAGTTCAGACTAAATCAACGCAAAACTCAACAGTGATACACGTCCATAGCACGTGGTTTCATCTTGCTGTGTTTGCATCTCCGAGATCGATCCCGGACATTGAGGTTATCAGGTATGCTTTGGGGAGTTTGAGGTTATTAGGTATGCTTTGGGGAGTTTGGTTAGTCGACAGACAGTGGTCGGGCGGCTCGAGGCTTACAGATCTTACAGAGGACAGTTATTGCCGGCGCAACACTGTCGTCAGAGAATGATATAGGCCCAGAGTGTACGTCGTTAGCAGCGACGTGACTGACAGAGGGTCGTCTTCACTGAGTGTCTGTTCAGAGCTGACTTAAGACAATGTTTTACGAGCAAAAGGGAGACAGAACGATTTTGTTGAGATGCTGATCTGTCAATACAGTTTACTTTTTGCATCTATGCTTTGTGGGGTTTTATTCCGCAACATATTGATTTAAAACTATGGTAAAGTCAGTTGGAATAGGGGGGAGGGGGTTATTTGTGGTTGAAACGTTCATCCTGCCATATTCCTGGAGCCTCATGTCTTGATAGTGTTCGAATACTGGTAAACAATACCCAGCCTTGACTATCCTCAGAAACAAATTCCGTTGGTGTAAAGGGAAAAAGCTTTGGAAATATATGAATGGATCACTGAAAATCAGTGATGACACCAGGTGTTCGCGAAAGGGTAAACATGCCCAAAACATTGGTCATGTAATACGGCATTACGAAACCTAAGGTCAGTTAGACGTTGAGTTCCACTTCCAATATGGACACAGTTCCTGACACGGAGCCGCCGGCAAATAGGATGGGTTTTCCCGTGGGACTCTCGGACGCCGGGACAAACCTGAAAACAGAACAAATCAGAGTGAGTGAGTGGCCACAGTATTCTACTCATATGAGAAACAAACCCGATTAATGACTACTATATGATCTGTAGGAAACGTAATTCAGTATATGCAGTATTCAAGGGATGAGAAAGGGACACTCAACACAAACAGATGAGACAAGTTAAGACAAGGCGTTTAGTGATAGATACATCGGATATGCCATGATCTTAAACATACATGTACTTCTTTTATATCGTTAATTTCATTCTATATATTGATTTTGTCTTCTGAAAGCAGGGTCAATAACATTTTTCTAGAATGTGAGAACAAAATATTTTTTCAACGAGTCAGATTCCCCCAAAGGTTGCTATGTACTGTACACTGACCGTACAGTCAGAAACACCGCTTCCTCTTTGACCATCCTTCACTATAGACAAACTTTATGGACAACAACTTTTTCATTTCGTCAATCCGACGCTTCGATACAGATTCTGGTACCGTTCCTACCTGACGAAATAAAAACGTTGTCATCTATACGGTTTGCCCTCATTGTACTTCCCAACTTCAAAAAATGCCACTCAAAGAAGTTATCCTGTCATTGAGCCCTGTACGTATTTAATCTACGATGACGTATTCACGCAACGTACTTATTATCTTCACAGTCGATCTCCGTGAGATCCCAGTCATCATACATCTGCTGCCAAGTTCTTCCCCAAGTCTCGGGGATGCCGGAATAGATGTGCTGGAACTTCGGATGACTCAGGTCGTCCTTGACGGAGTACGTCATGATAGTGCCTGGTCTCTCGTTGGCGACGAAGAAGAGCGTGTAGCCATCTATCTCCCCTACTGTCACATCTTCCGTCTCAGCACCCTGGGGGAGAGGATAAAAGGCAAGTCAAGACAGTTACTTCTGGTTCTGTTTACAACTGGACACAGCGAGACCCTTCTAAACAAAACCCTTACTTTAAGCAGAAGAAAAAAGCCGAGCCTACTGTTGGAACTGTTCCAGCAAGTATTTCCGAATCATGTCAGGTAATGATGTTACCTGGAGTTGGTGAAAGAGGTAGTGTGTCCCACACCACCGACGACGATCATAAACACATGCAACAGCAAATCAATTATTAAACAAAAAAATAAAATACATTATTGCATCGAATATCATTTTGTCACTGGATGCCTCACAGTTGTAAATGCCAACCCAATATCTACCATAAAACCTCTCGGAGGCGCTGGAAACAACTATCACGCGTATTAAGATCATGCTCGATTCTGCCTCAGGACCGTTTACACCTAGGAGCAGTGCTGCATACATTGACCTACTTTGCTATGTGGCGGCGGTCTGTAAATAATCGAGTCTGGACCTGTGGACCAGACATTCCAGTGATCAACATCATGAACATCGATCTACGCAATAGGGATATGATGACATGTGTCAACCAAGTCAGCGAGCTTGACCACCCGATCCCGTTATTCGCTTCATATGACAGGCATGGGCTGCTGAAGACAAATTCTAACCCGGATGTTCACGGGTCCTACACGTGACACACACAAGGCGGTTCCATTGGTCTTTTGTAGTTTACCATGGTTGGTAAATCAGTGGAAGAGACGTGATTGTTTGATCATTATTGAACAATATCATGGCAGCAAATTCATCAATACACCAATACGTCTTGGCCACATTTAGCTCTGTACATTTTGCCAATCCGACCGGAAAGTCCGAAGATAAGCCAGACAACCTCAACAAAAAGAAAATCCATAGCTGATGACCATTGGGATCCCTTCTTCTTGCCTACCTGTCTTATCAACACATAACATTAAAGGTCAATGCAACGTAAAACACAACTTTGCAGATTCTGATACCTTTCGGTATGGACATACCGAAACAAATCGTCAAAAATGCAAATTCAACTTATAAAGTTGAAAAATAACGCGATGAAAAAAAACGCGCGACATCGGAGTTCAAACGTTTCACTAATTTTCCCCAGACTTTTCTGGGGAAAACGGGTTTCAACAGCTGGGCTGCGCTCATAGCACGTGCGCAGTGAAATAGGTTCGCGCAGCTTGGAAGCGGGTTGTCGGGTGAATACTCGGTGAAAGCTTTGGTGTGAGCTATTTTTCTAATGTTTTGTTGATATCTCACAGGCGCGAACTTTTTTATATGTTATGACAGTAAATTAACTGTTTATATAATTTCATTTGTCTTTTTCACCACACGTTCTTCTTACCGAGACGCTTTCTCAGTTCGATACTTAAAAGCAATGTCATTATTTAGCGTTGACAGAATTTCTAACTGTGATATAGATATGTCGTTGTCACAGACAAACTCAATGTCTTGTTTTATTGACACCTGTGTGTCTGCCTGCCTGTCTGCTAATGGCAATATTCAATACACAGCTGCAATCACTGACCACATGCAATTCGAACTTAACACCAATCAGGCTATACACCATAAACAAAACGCATTGATTTATGGCCCGAGTTCGGTCTCTGTCACATTATGTAATAACACAGACAGGCAGGTGTGATACTTGAACACATGACATGTTATGATGTCTGTTGATTGCAAAACGTTATACACAAAAAATGAGCATGTATTTACAAAACCCAACATCTCTCTCTATATATACACACAATTAGCCGTGAAGGCATCTGCAAATGAACCAGCCGTTACACTTGAGTGCACACCCACCCGCTCTGACTGGGTTCGGTATCCCGGCTGCTTCGTTTCGAGGGAGGTAAACCCAAGTACAAAATATTGCACTTTTGATTTGCGATTATACGCTTATAATTTTCTTTATTTGTTTTTTCATAATCAGCAATGCATAGTATATGTCATGAAGAAGTGATAATTGTGTTTTAATTATGTTTGATTTTTTGGTTGCATGTGACCTTTAAGATATCGCACATAAGAAGGATTTCACCTATTCTTACCTCAGTAAACATAAAATACCATTTGAATTCATTTTTGAAGATTTGCTCCCAATCTACGTACCTGCATCAATCGTTTCCACGTTGTCCTAAGTTTTAAAGAATGAAATTTCCCCTAAAGTTTGTCACAGAAGTGACCGCAACCCTCACCCTCGTATTGAACTGGCGACTGACGGGATGTTTGATCCGTGCCATGTCGTCCCATTTCAACTGATGATCACGAAGCCAATCACTGGTTTCTCTGGACGAGTATTTACAGATGGCCGTGGTATAGCTGGAATATTTAACAAACAACAAACACGCACACAGACCTGGAATTACACTCAGAGAAACATGAGTTACCTTGTTATCAGATCTCATGTCGAAACTGTTATACGGTCGATCATTTTCGTCATCCAGTTCGCAATTAAACAGGTCAAATTGCTGTTGAAGAGTTCTGTCTGCGACGTCGTTGCCGCTGTCGTAGATGAGAGACATGTCTTCCGCTCTTCTGATAGACCAGCCTCTTCCTCCGTACGTGAACATCGCCTTTAAGAAACCCTGGCTGTCCCTTTCAGAGGGTGATACGCCAAATTTAAGTCGCCCTGTAAAGGATCACATTCTGTACCCGCCATGCAATGTTTCTTATGAGGCTGAGACTCATCACTGTCGAATTAAAATGAATACTCAAAGACGGATGTGCAAAAATGCAGTTTGTGTAAAACGAAAACCAAATCAGCTAATTATGATTATGAATTATGTTGAAATATAACCTAATGTAGCGAACGCAGTGGATGTACCTTGTATGGAAGATGAAGGAATCCCCGTATTATGGACATATCATCAGTTTAACTGGACAAATTACTTTTATGGAAAACAACCCACCCTCCCGACAACGGTACAGGGTCTCCACCAGCTGTTAATTCTAAACACGTTAGTGAAATAATACATACTATCACTTGGCAGTGGAAATCTAGAACTCACCCAGTTTACTGTTGTCCGAAAGTTGTTGCTGAGTTGTAAAGTCTATATTATAGAGATCTGAAACACGACGTTTCACATGTAAATATGTGGTAAAGATGGATTCCCTAGACGTCATTCTGAGCATTTATCATCAGATATCTTTTGATGATGATGCATGGCGATGTTGAGGGATTTCACGGAAATAACCTGCAACATTGCTGTATCACAAAGAACCATAGTGAAACTATGTGCTAACCCTGGGAACCATGCTAAAACGATGTGCTATCACTTTGAACAATGGTAAAACAATGTGCTAACCCTGGGAACCATAGTAAAACAATGTGCTATCACTTGGAACAATGGTAAAACAATGTGCTAACCCTGGGAACCATAGTAAAACAATGTGCTATCACTTGGAACAATGGTAAAACAATGTGCTATCACTTGGAACAATGGTAAAACAATGTGCTAACCCTGGGAACCATGTTAAAACAATGTGCTATCACTTTGAACAATGGTAAAACAATGTGCTAACCCTGGGAACAATGGTAAAACAATGTGCTATCACTTTGAACAATGGTAAAACAATGTGCTAACCCTGGGAACAATGGTAAAACAATGTGCTATCACTTGGAACAATGGTAAAACAATGTGCTATCACTGGGAACCATAGTAAAACGATGTGCTATCACTTGGAACAATGGTAAAACAATGTGCTATCACTGGGAACCATAGTAAAACGATGTGCTATCACTTGGAACGATGGTAAAACGATGTGCTATCACTGGGAACCATAGTAAAACGATGTGCTATCACTTGGAACAATGGTAAAAGAATGTGCTATCACTGGGAACCATAGCAAAACGATGTCCTATCACTTGGAACAATGGTAAAAGAATGTGCTATCACTGGGAACCATAGCAAAACAATGTGCTATTACTGGGAGCCACGGCAAAATAATGCGCTATCACTAGGAGCCACTGCAAAACAATGCGCTATCACTGGGAGCCATGGCAAAACAATGCGCTATCACTGGGAGCCATGGCAAAACAATGCGCTATCACTAGGAGCCACTGCAAAACAATGCGCTATCACTGGGAGCCATGGCAAAGCAATGTGCTATGACTGGGAGCCATGGCAAAGCAATGCGCTATTACTGGGAGCCATGGCAAAGCTATGCGCTATGACTGGGAGCCATGGCAAAACAATGTGCTATTACTGGGAGCCACGGCAAAACAATGTGCTATTACTGGGAGCCACGGCAAAACAATGTGCTATTACTGGGAGCCACGGCAAAATAATGTGCTATCACTGGGAGCCATGGCAATGCAATGCGCTATCACTGGGAGCCATGGCAAAGTAATGCGCTATTACTGGGAGCCATGGCAAAGCAATGCGTTATTACTGGGAGCCATGGCAAAGCAATGCGCTATCACTGGGAGCCATGGCAAAGTAATGCGCTATCACTGGGAGCCATGGCAAAGCAATGCGCCGGGAACCGTGGTAAAACAATGCGCTATCCCTGGCAAGCATAATAAAACAAGGGGCTTTCACGGGGAACCATAGTAAAACAATATGCTATCGCGAGGAGCCACATGAAAACTGGTTAGTGCTGTCAATCATAGGAATCACAAAGGCTGCGGGTGGAAAACATCGTAAAACCATGCGTTATCGCTGGGTATCAAAGAAATGCTAGGAAACATAAGTATGAATCCAATTGTAAGTGAAACTTGAATTATTTTACATCTAAAGTTAACAATTGAAATAGAAATTACAATAAGAACGTTGATGTCTGACCTTGCGGTGCAACTTTGGAGCCCCGTTCCTCCTCTGACCACTGATATGCGCCGTACTCGTACACCTTGGCGTCCCCCTCGTTCGCCATCACCAGGTAGTTACCTCCCTTGAACTGGAAGTGCACGAACGAGTCCGGTTGGTACATCCCGTAGACGGTATAGGAGTTCATGTTGGCACCTGGAGAATATAGGAAACATAGTGAATGAAGTGAATATCGCATAACGCCAAACAGCATACTCGGTCGTTCTGATCATTGAACAGCCAAACCAATGGTATAAGCAATGGTATAAGCATTAACGTTTGCCGACAGTAGTCAAGCTCTCCCATCTGTACAAATAAACAGCTACTGTGTTGAAACGATCTCCTTTCAAAATGACTCTTACATAGTGCACTGAGGTTATGTTTTGCCCTGTGTTGGTGATTCAATAATTCTGGAATATAGCTGAGGCAAATGTCCTGGTTTAAAGACGTTAAATTGCAGACATACATTTCACCCAAACCCCATGTACCGAGCTACCCGCATGACACGGTATGGTCTAGATTATAGTATGCATCCTTTGATTTGAAGAAAGAGGATTAATGACTGTCGCAAGCTATTATGCTGCGCCAAGCCACAGTCATGTATACGAAATCATACTATACTGGACGCGTGTTCTAACAATCACCTTAATGAACAGAGGGCTTTCAGGAAGGGACATACTATCATTTCTCTCAACCTGACGATGAAGAGCGCTCTCTTTCAAATCTTTAAGCCACTTTCCATGCCTGCTAACATCCCCAGGGAAAGGGTTGATCCGAACGAATACCTTTGAATTGAGGCATGTTTGAAAATGATAAATAGAGATAATATAAAATGCCCCTCAGACTAATGATCTCCATTGACAGTGTACAATAAGCTTACCGCCGTCCCGATCACTTGGATCCAGTTTTAATGATGTCCAGTTCTTATATCCCAGCCCATACACCTCCGATATTGTCTCGGTCTCGAGGTCAACAGTCGCCACAGCATTGTTCTCCTGTCAACAATATTGACATCTTTAGTGGAACTATAACTAAGGTGAGTGAATTGTGTTTAGTGCTGCATAGAACATGACAGAATGATGGCATCATGAGGTTGGTTTGATGTGACGATGCTGTGAGAAATATGACTGGCTCTATCTTGTATAACCGAACCATTCAGACTGGTATCAACCGTCACTGTTCACAAAACGTATCTCCTCAACTGAATCACAGATCCCATTTGAAAGTGTTCATATGGGATTACACTTTCTTAGTAAAGTACAGATTCTAGTACTTTTGTTGGGTTGAGTCCCATCCGGTCAGGCACCAAATCGCCAGCACACAAAATCAGCCTTCTAACCCGCTCAGCCACCGCGACTTCCACAGATAGCTCTAGTTACTGCGTCGGTGGGATCAACCCTGCTGTGATCTTTTTATACAAATTGTCCCTTTCCTCAAGACACCTCGGTGTCAAGTGTCTGCTGAGGCATTATGAATGATTGACACATGTCATCGGTTCCCAAATGCGCAGATCGATGCTCATACTGTTGATCACTGGATTGTCTGGTCCAGACTCGATTATTTACAGACCGCCGCCATATAGATGGAATATTGCTGAGTGTGGCGTAAAACTAAACTCCTCACTCACTCATTAGAATGATTTTTAAGTGATACCAGGGATGCTTATAACCTCCCTTACCTGCAACATTATGTACGCCTTGGTGTCGTCAGCGTTGATGGCGACGTATTCAGGTTCCACGTCGTTGGAGAAGGGGTTGTTGTTCTCCCTGTACACGTGGCGGACGCCGGACTGTTCCAGGAATGGCACTCTGCGAACCGAGACATGACCATGCTTAGTGTTATATCAAAGTTTAGTCATTCACAATAAACATTCCGGTTAACATAAGAACCAGTGGTGGGCAGCATGAGCAGCAAGCCACACCGTCAGGGTGCGATGACATATCAAAATCCGTATGTAACCATGTCCATATCCAACCATGTGCGCCTTTAGGGCAGTGTCAGTGAGTGAGTGAGTGAGTTCAGTGACGAGACAATCCAGTGATTAATAGCATGAGCATTGATCTACGCAACTGATACGATGACAACTCGGATCTTCACGGGTAACGTATCTAGTCCCTGTCGGAACGGCGCAGAGCAGTTTAGAGGACTCAGGGTGGTCACAACATATCTTGAAGACAACTCTCAGCTGGAAATGGACACATTTATGAACTATACATGCCAATTGACATTTCATCTTCTATACCGCTACAACTGATTCAGAATTACGTGCGTTATCTCACTTTGAATTCCTGAAAATGCACCCATGCGTTTCTGTTTTGTAAGTGTATCAATGTCATTAGTAATAAATACCTTTCATTGAATCTCTCAAAATTCAATGTGGATATAATCGTGTTGCCCCCGACTCCCGAGGGGAAGTTGACGATGACGACGAGTCCCGGGGGGTCAATGATGTGGTTTGGGGGGTACTCGTACGCCTCGCCCTCTACCGCCACAATAATCTTGGAACAGTCCCTCGTCGGCTTGACCATGTCTGGAATAGCGCCCACTGGGAACAGAGAGTGAGTGAGTGAGTGAGAGTGAGTGAGTGAGTGGGCGAGTGAGTGAGTAGGTCTGCATGGGTGAGTGACTGAGTGTGTGAGTGAGTTCTAATTCTTACCTTGAACTTGCAGAACTTCATTGATCTGTTTTGTGGCGGGGTTGTATCTGAAAACAATCATCTTGCCATTGGCTCTCTCTGTTCTGTTGTCCAAGGCCGTGAAGATGTAACCCCCGCAGAACTCCACGTCCGTAAACTCCATACCCGGATACTCCACATGGGCCAGGATGATCATGTGGTTAGGGTTAGACACGTCGATAACGTGCACGACCGTGTCGCCTACCAACAATGAGCTATACATTAGCAGACATTAATACTTCACTTCAACTCAAGTTAAACATATTTTCTCAGCCTTCAATGTATAAATTTTTTGCCGAAAATATGTAAATGTATCCGCCAATATAAGCAGAAAAATATCTTGAGGCATTCAGCGTTCTTTATATCATACGCAACAGTCATTATATTACAGCCAACTGATTTTTTCCATAAAATTCTCTCGTCATATGAAACATCATCTGTTATCCGCGTTAGACAACTAACGTTTTATATAAGCCGAGTTTAGGGTGTGCACAGTTGTGAGTTTACTTTGACAATCCGATAATTGTCTACATCTTTGAAGGCCGTCATACGATTATCACGATACTATAGGTATGTGTGACAAGAATCACTTAATGTTTCCAATAGTGGCAATACCAGGTGTTTGCCAGCATGTGAGCGTATCCTGCCTCACCGGCGGCATTCATTACAAACACACGCAAAGGCAAGTCACACATTTTCATGATCAAACAACATATGGTGCATGTCAAATTAAGCAAAATCAATTTATCTTTTATCACAGATGCCTAACATTTAGTCACACAGTAGGTATCACCATAGAGACCAACTGCCCTATATATGCACATAATTCGGAATTTCTTCTCAGACTGGCAAATTTTTAAGAAGGTAAGTTGGCCATAAACTAAAGTTTTTAAAGCTTTAGGTATACCAATGATCTGGTATCGTTCACCAATCATATTGCCAAACCCCTTCGACAAAACTGCCCCAAATCCCAGAACTATGGGAGACCAGTGAAACCGCCTCACCTGTTTCATGTTTAGATCAAAAACAAAACTCTCCCCACAAGACGAGGACAAGATGAAGGATGACTTCAACGCTAAATAGTAAACTTTCGCTATAGTTCCACCAATAATCATGCAGCTACAGCCTTGGTGCTTTCATTTCACATTTTAGGTACGATAGAGATACTCTTTCTACAAAGCTTTAAAGAGTGTAGCCATCTAACCGTGTACCTGTTTGATTACGGTTACGCCATTGAACGCCTTAGTAAAACTTGCACCAACTTTTGTGGTAGACACGAGGAAGACATTCCTACAGGCTTCATGAAGCCCTTTTTCGATTTTGCTACTATTTTCTCTATTTTTTTCACGCCAACAATTGACCTGCCGCTGCATGTGTTTGTAACAGGTGCCAGTAATGGGGCAGGATACGCTAACCGTTTCTCTAACACCTGGTGTCATCGCTATGTTCCTGGCCCCATGCTCCTGATGTGGCCGGTGTGTTATAATGCTTTTAGTACACATGCCTTGTGAACACTGAAATAGTTTCAATCGCAAGTGTTAAAATCCCGCCCTTTAGAATAGCAGCGTGTCAGTCTTATGTGACTAGAGCGTCAACAAGAACCACATTGGTAAAGACGAGCACATGCGTGGTGGTGTCAAGTTAAGAACAAGTTAAGAACCGCATATAATATGGGATTCGAACCCACCACCGGGATCCTGGCCAAAGTTTGAGAATCCACTGACTCATTGTTGTTACTGCTATCAACGCTTATACTACAGTGCAAGTCCAAGACAGCTCTTTGAACTAATCCAGGACAACTAAATATTGATGTCATTGCATGACCTAAGTTTGGATAAACATACACCTAGCATGAGTGTAATATCCGATAAAAGAATGATTTCAGTTACAACTAGGCTCTAGTTCAGTCCGATAACAATAGTCATTTTGAAAATAGGACAATTCCCACGTGCCATGTAAAGTGCTTCATTTCTCGTGTATAGTAGCAGCTCTTTGAACGCAATGAGACAACTTTGACAAAAGTTAAAACATTGTGACATTCCGACTATATTAGTATATCATAAGCATATGTTTATGAATGACTATCAAAGAGTGATGTTGGCCTGTATTTGCGACAGGTAAATGCATGCTGTACCACCGGTAACAACCATCACAACTACATGGCAAGGCAGCTAAACACAAAGTAGAAATAGATAATCGACATCAGGTCTGTCACTGATGCTTGAAATTTGAAAATATTCTCTGCATGTCTGCAAAAATACACTTTGAAAACGTTACTAAGGCCATTAGGAGTGTAACCCGGATCAAACAACATTGCCAAGTTGGTGCTGTTTGATTTTTGCTTTGGAAGAGTCTGTTCGAATATATCTCCGAAGTTACATTACTAAAGTCTGATTCTGTTGGATGATTATACATATCAGGTTCTTATCAGTTTTTATGCAATACAAATTCACATTCAAAGGAAACCTCAAACATTACACATATAAAACTCAACGCCATATTTTTTTTCTGCTAACACAGATTCCATAAACGCATAATACTAGTACTGATTCAAATTTTCTTGACCTTGCATAAAAATATGTGTATTATCTATATGAACCAGTTGTGCTTAAGAATAAAGGTATAACAGTGTGATTCTTAATATGCTATGGATACTCGTTTTTACACATGGACATTTTACCGATCGAATAGATATTGTTTTCGCCACTGTCAACAAAGGTCTAGCGACAATGCAAAGGACACAAAGAGATTGCACTCTGGCTGAGACAGAACTTCTGCATTTGATAAGACGTTCATGTAATTGAATAGCCGGTCCAGCGTTCGAAATTAACGTCGGTCCTTTAGGCTCGTGGCCGACTGAAAACCACTCGGACCCACAACACTGAACCGGTCTTCACGATGACTAGAACAGATTCATTTGACTGTCATAAGGGGTAAAATAGCTATGAAAGTTGTTTGAATTGACCGCTGAAATTGAGTAATGACACCGGGTGTTTGCATGTCCCGCCCTACAGGTAGCACCCACCATTCACACAATTTGTCCGGGAAAAGTAACATGTGCCTGAAGCTGCTCAGCTGAACAAACCACATAATCAAATCATCGACGGACCAGACAATCCAGTGATAGTGCATTTGCTGTCTTGAAATTGCAGATATTCTTTAAGAATGATGAAGTAACTTTGTTGATCTAAAGTCGATTAAAACAATTTAGTTCAAGTAAAGATATACAAAATTCTATTTTAACTTACATTTCTTTTGGTTGGTTTGCTTATAAAATGATGAGTTGAACATATAACGCAAAGGACAGAAAATAACCAGTTTCCACTTTCACCGAAACACATTTCATTGGAAGTAAAAGGCAAAGGCAAAAGAAAAGGCGTTGAGTGGATAACTGAAAACGGTGAGAAACGCATGTTCTAATGTCTTGATCTCAACTCACCAACTGTGTAAAGAATTTTGTTGTCCGAATCATACGTAAGTTGTTCCACAGCCACTTCCGACAGTGAGTATTGTGGACCATTTTGGTAGGTGTACGGCAGAAATATAGACGAGATTCTCCTCAATTGCACAGTCTCCCCAAGAGCTGCCGTCACAAGCGCCAGACAAATAATAAGTCTGAAGACCATCATGCAGCTCTAGACGTGGCCAGGGACGGTCCGGGTGTGACTGTCGGATGTGGCACTTGCAGCGCTATATAAAGGAGGCAGGCACGAGTTACATTCTTAGAAACCACGAGTGATAACAATGAATTGTTAACTCTCATGTTTTTTTATATTCTAGCCCGCTTTAGACACATATGCACTTTGATAACAGATAGTCTGTTACAATCGTACACTACACTGGTATAGTTGATATAGTTGATACATGAGTTGATCGAGTATGACACTGTTGGCTTGTTTCCACGACACTTGAAAGCTGCCATGTTGATCTTTCGTCCTCTGTTTCAAATCTGCACATAACTATAGGATGTAAATATCATGCCATACGAGTTACTCCTTGGGGAATTCGGTTCAAAAGCGTGTTCTGCTGATTGTCAGATGCTACTAAACTGCACTAGGTGGTCAGACTCGGTTGTATGGGGTGGTTTCACCTGGGTGTCATCATGACTTAACGGCATTCATCGTTGTTCATAATGTCAACCAATGGTCGGCCGTCTCCAGTTGGGTATAACACGCAATATTCGCAAGGTCAAATATAATGTCTGAAGAACGTTACATTTTCTGCCCAAACCAGTGAAAAGATATAAAGTCACGGTTTGATTTTGAAATATTTTTAAGGTCTTTTTTGAAGTATATATGCAAAATCAATCGGGTAGGGACATTGAGGGTTGTTTGTTATTGTATCAAGGCCATTGTCCTTTTTTGTATCTAGTGCTGAATAGAATAGCTAAAACCATATGCTATTTACCTTGAATAGGTATTGACAGATAACATACAGTCCAAGGATTCCTAATATGTGCTCAGCCCAGAATACTGGAGGGTCCGCCCAGTTGTACACACTGGTAATCACAAGTGTAACCAATATGTAACCCCCTATACTCGGTGCAGTAAATACCATAGATTATACAACGTGACATAACGCTTCACTAATGACTCTCCCCCTGTGGCCGTGTGCGGTCCAAACGTTCATATTTACAACTTAATGACGAGGACTAAATACGGTATATTTTATACATGTAATAAAACACTTAAGTTTTCTAAGGTTATGATTTAATATGTCAAATGCGTATGAAGTAACTATCATTGACTGGTATAAAAAGAAACTATTCAGTGTGTATATCCTATCTTAAATTTTGAAATTGTATTTACGATTCTAGTGGGGGAAAAGTAAATGGAGACTGTAGATGACAATGATGTAGCATATGTTATATTTGGGATAACACTTTCTCAGTAAAGTACAGATTCTAGTTAGGTCGAGTCCTATCCAGGATTCGAAACCACACTCTCAGAGTCAGGCACCAACACCATCAATAAAATTATTGCTACGCTCTTATGATGTTAGTTTTAAAAGTATTGTATTTTTAACAAGACTGTAAGGATTTCATACCTCAAGTTCAATTTGGATCAGGGATATTACGTGGAATAATATAACATTTCACCACTTCATCAACAATCCACTTACAGAAAAACGACAAGTAAACAGATTCAGCATTCTGTACACACATTTCTTTGATGAGCGCTCAACAGCTTATTTCAAATAATCACTTCTCAACCCCCTATGAAGATACAGATAAGAAATGGTCTTCAGCAACATATGCGTGTTGGAAGTTGTGACCTACAGGATCAGGTGGTCAGGCTCACTAATTTGTTTGACGCATGTCATCGAATCCCAGTAACGTACATCATGTTCATTATGTCTTTGAATTGCTTGGTCAAGTGATTATAGTTTTATGTATTGCAGTAATAAAACACATCAGGGAATCGAACCCGGGTCTTTGGCGTGACGAACGACAACTCCGTCCTGGTCAAGACTCAGTTAGTTACAGATCGCGACCAAATTACTAGAATGTTGCTGATTGTTGTGTTGAAAAACAAACAAACAGATCACTACGCGTCAATGATAAATGTGTTTTAAAAATACTTTGGCTGAGCGGATTGCTGAGAAAGTGTATGGTTCACAAGCATAATGATGAAAGTGTAGCCAGTACTACCATTAAAAGAGGCATAGTCATGCATTAAAACATTCATTTGTTCTTAAATGAAGTAGATAGTGTTCAAACAATCGCTATATTTCAAATGAATATTTTTATTTGTAAGGATCAAAACATGCACAAGTGTTCTTCAAATGTCAGCGTTATGCAATTTGTCTGAACATTTTACCGCGATAATCGCTCTCCCATATGTTATGAGAGTGTGTTTTTGTTCATTAAGATGTCACATTGATTTTATATACATTATATACGGAAAAGAATGTAATGAAAACTTCGTTCCTAAGTAAAACGCAATCTCAAAAGTCAAGAAATGTAGAGGCTGGAATCCCTGGAATATTGCTCGACATAAAGTTGATTGTTGAAAATGGATGCTGGATTCAGAACGTCCAGCAAATAATGATCAATATATGTTACCTGCCGAAACACATTCCTCTCGGTGCACCAGGCACAGTTGTCATCAAAGTTATATAATGAAGAGATAAGTGCAAATTAGTGATCTCTCTAGTTCTTCTTGGAAAAGGGCAACCATGGTCAACACATGGATACATCGTACACTATTCTCGACAAGAAATCAATATGGGTGTATAGGCGTGTATATTCCAATCTCACTAAAATTAAACAGAACTCATGTTTATAACGTTTTTGTTGTTATCAATATAAACTCTGTCAAAAAAGAAACGCAACCCCTGTATTTTAGAGATTTTGATCTGAAGTTTTAAGACGACACAGCATTTTTATTATTTAAGACAGAAGTCTGAAATTTGGCAGAATAATAACCAAGATGGGCATGTTTAAAATTGTCATTTCAAAAGTCATCTCACAGACACCAGTTTGTCACCAGGGGGGCGTCTTTCTCAGTATCTCGTATGAGCACCACGAGCTGCAATCACTGCACGGCGTCTCCTTGGACAAGAACGGATAAGACGCCGGATTCTTTCCTGGGGAATGGCTCTCCACTCCTCCTGCAGTGCAACGCCGAGCTGTTGCAGCGTCTGTGGCGGCGGCTGACGTTGACGTACGCGTCGACCCAGAGTATCCAACAGGTGTTCAATAGGGTTGAGGTCTGGTGATTTAGAGGGCTATGGCAAGACATTGACGTCGGAATTCTGCAGAAAGTTCATTGTTGCACGTGCAGTATGAGGCCGGGCGTTGTCTGGTTGAAAAATCTGTGTCTGTTGGTCAATAATCGGGAGAAGGTGAGGCTGTAATACGTGGTTGATGTAACGTTGGGCTGTCAGGTTCCCTTCAACGATCACCAAGTCTGATTTCTGGTTGTATGAGATGGATCCCCAAACCATAACGCTTTCTCCGCCAAATCTGTCCCCCTGTCGGACGCAGATGGGCGCAAAACGTTCATGACGTCTCCTATACACACGTTTTCTTCCGTCGTGATGTTGCAAAAGAAAACGGGATTCATCAGAAAACCAGATGCGCCTCCAGTTTTGTAAAGTCCATATCCTTACGTTGTTGCACCACCTGAGTCGTCGGCGGAGATGTAGGGGGCGTAGTACAGGTCCAACAACTGGTCTACAGGCACGTAAACCCGCTTCTTTCAGACGGTTCCTAATCGTTTGAGCTGACACTCTCCTCAAACCTGGTATTTGTGTGGCAGTCACGGTTGGTAGGGCATGCCGATTACGCAGGTGATGGACCCGGATGTACCGATCTTGAAGGGGGGTCGTGATTCTTGGCCTTCCACTTCTCGGGCGATCGTTGGTCAAATTGAAGTTGTTGTAGCGGCTCCAAAGTCGGGATATCGTTGTTTTGTGAACATTTAGGTGCCGTGCAACAGTTCCAAAACTTTCTCCGGCTTGAACACGACCAATGGCGATATTTCGGTCGGCAGCACTCAATCGTGGCCTTTTTTTACACAGCTTTTCATGCGACAAATGAATGAATATAATACGAAAGCACATGGGCTTTTATACACCCCTACATTAACTGCCATTTTCATGATTTGCATGTGTTTTTTTTGTGCGAAGTCACCATGAGGGTCATTTCATGCGTTGTGACGGAATAAGCAATAAAATACACTTATGCGTACAAATGCAGTTGTTTGGATGGTAATCTTCATTAATTACGTGTATAATTTCAATACATTCGAATAACATTTAGTTTGGAAGCAATAACTTCATTCAAACGAATTTTTCATATCTGAGGACAGGGGTTGCGTTTCTTTTTTGACAGAGTTTAATTTTATTTCCTAGTCCCTGTTACATACAAAACCTAACACCCAGGGTAGTGCTCGGCCCAATTCAGATGAGAAAAAGTAGGCAACGTTAGAAGACACAAGCTAGATGATACAAGTACCTGAGTTCAATTTTTTCAATATTTATTCATACATATTCTGTTAGTGAGGTTCATATTAGAAGCATGAATGATATTCTGGACTCAGATATTTTTTTAAATTTAAATTGACATGTACACCCATTCACATTCTACACTAAACTAAAATCGGTTTAACATACATTTATATCATCAAGAATTGTTGTACTCATTAAAGCAAGTTCACTGAGCTTCAGAAATCGACATATCCATATTAGCTAGTTCATAGTACAAAGATAAAAATAACTCTTATGTCTAAACCTGTGAAGGATGGTGATCTTGATAAGGTTGAAGATTTTTCCTATGTAAATTCATTGGAGCTATCTTGGATAAGAAAGCTGATGGACATTACAATTGAATCTAAATGGGAAACATTGTTTTTTTCTTCTTTTCCTCACTGTCAAAATCTAGCCATATTTGGCAATTCTTTCCCAGTCAAAACATTAAAAAAATCAATAATGTTGTTTGCTGCACGCTATCTTTGACTTTGACAAGTTTTCAACGAAAACAGCCTGAATCATTTCATGATTTTATAACAGAGACATCACCAGATTATCTTTTATTCTAAATGGTTTGATATACGTGTCAGACAAAGACTGATTTTCTAAAAACTGAAGGAAACTACCCATCACTTAGGCAATTCCAGTACACATTTGATATTGGTGTCAACTTCCTTCTTTATAACGTTTATTGGTAACAGATATGTTAGTATGTGAGGTAAGGTATAGACATTAGACACTTGTGAGAACGTTGTACATTCTGAGGATATCAAACACAAATATTCCCGGAACAAAATAACATGATGACCGTCATAATTAACTGACACACTTTATTTTGGAGGGTACATTGACATCACGAACGTTATCGTTGTAACAGTGTTTCGGCGAGACTTGATTGTTGTTTTCCTTTCATGTCATGATGTTATGTGCACAGCATACAACTAAAATTATCCCTTACACTAATATAAAAAAACATGTTTTGTTCAGTATATATGTTTCTAAATTGGGTTTAACATACACATACACACACACACATACACACACTCTCTCTCTCTCTCTCTCACACACACACACACACACACACACACACTACAATTTTTACCATACAAACACACTTGGAAGCCGAACTTCCGTGTTAAAGTTCGTTGAAAAATCATTATAAATGGCGTATATGACATATCAGGGATGTAAAAGGTGCAAAGAAGTGTGAATGAATTCTAGTACACCAGCGTTTGGTAATAGTAGCAACTGGGTTGGGTTGGAGTTACAGAACAGATCTTCACGGGCGGGGAGATAGCCCAGTGGTTAAATTGTTCGCTCGACCCCCGAAAACCAGGGTTCCACTCTACATAGGGTAACCATTTGTGTGGTCCCCTGTAGTGATATTGCTGTAATGTTACAAAAGTCTCATTTATAAAATATAGGTAAGTCAATGGTCTGTGACGAGCCAGCACAATTAGTCATTAGTCGTCAACTACCACATCCAATATGGACACAGTTCCTGACACGGAGCCGCCGGCAAATAGGATGGGTTTTCCTGTGGGACTCTGGGACGCTGGGACAAACCTGGAAACAGAAACAAATCAGAGTGAGTGAGTGAGTGATTTAGGAGGTGAGCCTGCTGTGTTGAACTAGAAGAAGCTTACTGTAACGTCTTCGCTTTTGGCACAGAGCCCTCTTCTGAAGGTTGAGCACGTGAGGGAGTTTGGGTGAATGGAAGCGAATGTGAATAGTTGTTCGCCTGTCAGTGGGTGAGTGAGTGAGAGCTGGGTGGGCTTTAGGGAGGGAGGACGGTTCGATGGGTGGTTGGTTAGGATGCAAAAGATAAGTGAGTGAGTCAGTCAATGACCTGGATGTAAATGATGTTTCGAACAGTATACCATCTTTCAGCTTCATATTAGAGAAATGCTCGAAGTGACCCACTTTTTTTAGACAATTCGTACAACCAACACATATGGAGATACTGCTGCCAGAACGAGGATGAGATACGAACCCATACGTGAAATGTACGTCATTACTAGCTGCCGTACGATGAACTTCTTGCAATGCCCTTTTGGAAATATTGAGTGATAAATGGTTGAGAATGGAACCTTCGCCAGAACGAAGATTTGTGGAACATCAGACATGTTGAGAAAAGGGGATGGGTATTTGTTGGACAGTAGTGAGTTCGCAGGGGATATATACACTGGACTTACTATGTTTATATTAATCTATTTTGTGTTTATGGTTTCGTTATTATGCATATACTTTATTTTACTTATTTCAGAGCTACAACATGAGAAAGGTGTCTTATCTTAGTCCCAGAAAAAGATGTGCAGACTCTGCTGTTAAATCTTTCTTTTCAGACTTTTCGGGAACATACTTCAACATCCTACAAGTACATCAAATAATAGGGCTCTAACCAAAAGGGCGCCGAGTGCCTTACATTGACCTTAAGTTACAGATAGAGATTGATAGAGACTGTTCTTCTATGACTATCCGTCTATTGAGCCCTGTACGTATTTAATCTACGATGACGTATGCACGGAACGCACTTTTTATCTTCACAGTCGAGCTCTGTGACATCAGAGTCTTCATACATCTGTTGCCAGGTTCTTCCTCGAGTCTCGGGGATGCCGGAGTAGAAATGCTGGAACTTTGGATGACTCAGGTCATTCTTGACGGAGTACGTCAGGATGGTTCCCGGTCTCTCGTTGGCGACAAAGAAGAGCGTGTAGCCATCTACCTCCCCTACTGTCACATCCTCTGTCTCAACACCCTGGGGATAAAGGTACACGGTGATTATACAGAGTAGCTTCTGGTACTGTTTATATCTTGACCCCTCTGAATATAAATACTCATAAATGCGAGTCCACTGGATGGTTCTGGCGGTATCATAATCGTGTTTTAAGGAATCACTACATAATAGTAAGTATACAAGTTTACGAAAAGGTGAGCGATCGTCAGCCTAAGAAAGCGGAAACAAATAGCACCAGTAAAAATAAATAACGATAGGTATCTGACAGAATTTTTGTCTACGATAAGTCAAATTTTCCAGTGTTCTAGATGTGGCTATCAGAAAACCATCTTAAAGCTCTCTGAAGTCCTCATGAAGGACCAAGCTCGATTGTAATGTTTAAAGTCATGGTGTGTAGACCCGAACGTCTGGGCTTGCTCGACACACAAATAAAAGTGACAGACTGTTTTTCAAATTGAAGCGTCATCCTCCTTGTCACAGAGTTGAAGAGAATTGGTCTTTATTGAACGAGATGTGACTATCGATATACTTGAAACTTTTGTTAAACGTCTTGGCCAAATTCCCGTGTTTCGATACAGCTATTCGGAAAAGAAATTCCGATTTAGAATTTTATATGCTTAAGGTCTCTACAAGGAGAAGGCAGCAGAGCGTCATATTTGAAGTGTTGGGGGATTTCTGCTTCTTGCTTAAACTGTCAAATCCCAAAACTTCACATATCGTTTCTTGAGCAACATCATATGTTGACATGTTATGTAGGCCTTGATTAACATTAACTTGCGACTATCTTAGCTTTAAGAGATCTCCTAAAATCTGGGCCCTGAACTTTTAATCTGATGACAGAGATGTAGCGAGATCAATCGTCACCACCTAAATAACAAATGACCGATGGATCACGGATGGAAGTTTTCCCTTTAGTTTCTCATGTGGGACAGTTGAAATATCAGTTGTGACAGGACTGTACTTGAGATCCGGGTCCTGAACTCTTGACTTTAGCTTCCACTGACGACCTCCCGGCAGAGTCTACTGGAATTGGCGACTAAAGGGATTGGTTAGCTCACCAGGTTGAAACATGTCATCGTACCTCATATGCGTGAAGACCCGTGAAGATCCACGTTAGAACTGGACTTCAGCAACCCATGCTTGTCGTATATTGTTGTAGAACTAAGACGTTTAAGCTGTTGAACACAGTCTGGTCCAGACTCGATTATACAGACTATCGCCATATACAGTCAAATCCCGATGAGCCGAATGCCGGTGTCTCGAATATTATGCATAACTCGAAGTACCTGTCGGTCCCGACCATTCCCTGTTATAGTTGTCATCATTTGAATACCGGTTACACGAATTCGTCTCATAAATACACACGATGACACGAGAAGGAAATTTGGTACCATGAGATTCAAACAACAGCAATCTTGTATACATAAGCCGAAGTCAGTCAATGAGAAGTTGATTGGTGCACACCTTTCCGCCTCCTTTTGACGGGTGAGTTCAAAAGGCAGATTAGTGATTTTACGGAAATCACTGTCTGTGATAATCAGACTGGAACTGATAAGGTGCCCCTATTAGTGATAGGGAAATCATTAGGTAAACAAATTCTTAGGCGGAGGAATTAGGACTGGATCATGTTTTATTCTACCCTCATAGACATACCTATGTCTCGAATGCATCGATGTACCTGGAATATTGCTGAGAGATACGTTTAACAATAAACCAAACCAAATTCTTGGATGGAAACCCCTGGTACAGACTGGATACACTGCCCGAAACCATCTGAAATAATACTGAGTGTGATAGAAGTTACCTTGTTATCCGATCTCATGTCGAAACTCTCGTACGGTTGATCATGTTCGTCATCAATTTCACAATTAAACAGATCGTGTTTCTTTTGAAGAGTTCTGTCTGCGACGTCGTTGCCGCTGTCGTAGACGAGAGACATGTCTTCCGCTCTTCTGATAGACCAGCCTCTTCCTCCGTACGTGAACATCGCCTTTAAGAAACCCTGGCTGTCCTTTTCAGAGGGTGACACGCCGTATTTGAGACGCCCTGTAAATGATCACATTGTACAATGATTTGGGACGATCTGAGTTTCAGCAAAGTCGAGATCGAAAGAATAAAACAAGAGAAGATTAAGGTGTATAGTCACGGCATCCGAGGAAAATGGGAAATCTGAATAGATCATATTTCAAAATTCCTAACATATCCCTAAAATACATATCTCTCACTATTAAGGAACGGGTTGGTTGTGATTCGTTCTAAGGAGGGAGCTCTGCCCTATTTCGACTTTAGAGATATTGAGTATATACCGGCGAATGCCATAGTGTCTAATATCGTTACTCTTATTGTTTAGAGTGAGTGAGCGAATTGGGTTTAACTCCGCTTTTTACCAGTATGTCAACTTGACTTTTGAGGAAAGCCCCAAATGGACGTTTACCACTTTAGAGAACCCTCAATATCTTTGGAGATCACTTACTGGTACTGACAATTTAAGAACTATATTTAGTGTGGAGCTCTGAATGAAACCGGGGGCGGTGGGGTAGTCTAGTGGTTAAAGCGTTCGCTCGTCACGCCGAAGACCCGGGTTCGATTCCCCACATGGGTACAATGTGTGAAGCCCATTTCTGGTGTCCCCCGCCGTGATATAGCTGGAATATTTTAAAAGCGGCGTAAAACTGAATTCACACACTCACTCACTGAATGAAACCCGCGATAACAGGTTACTGTTATCTACAAGGGACGCAACTGTGTACGGGGAATTGCGGCGCCTTGTCTATTGGATAAAGGTGCTGTCGGTCAGTTACACTTCACCACATGCAATTCAGGATATGAGACTCACCCAATTTACTGTTATCCGACAAAAGTTCCTGAGTTGCGAAGTCAATATGCCAGAGATCTGCAGCAACAAAAATTAAATGTAAACGTTCGGTTAAGCGGGATCCCCAAACACCAAGAGCATTTATCAACATATATTGGGTGGTCAGGATATACATGGATCCCTATAGCATGTCACATCACTCCTCTACGTTATCGCTTGGAATCCCAGGATCCGAATTCCATATTGCTGTGAGTGAAATGGATACTCATTATATACGATTTAAGTTTAAGGAAATATTGAATTATTTTTTATCTGATTATCAAAGACAACTTTACAATGGTAACGCTGATGTCTGACCTTGAGGTGCAATTTTGGAGCCCCGTGCCTCCTCTGACCACTGATATGTGCCATACTCGTACACCTTGGCATCCCCCTCGTTCGCCATCACGAGGTAGTTACCACCCTTGAACTGGAAGTGCACGAACGAATCCGGTTGGTACATCCCGTAGATGTTATAGGAGCTCATGTGAACACCTGGAAAATATTGTGAAGGAACGAGTCAGTGCAAGTGGAGTGAATAGTGTTTAACGCCGCAACATAGATCGTCCCCACGGTTGAAAAGGTTCACGACAGAGCCGGGCCAAGTAGTGAATGAAGGCATAGAGAACGAGGCTTCTCGGTTGCAAGAGTCAACCAACTCGATTCACCTTGTTTGAGATCATGTTAAACTGTGATCTTCGTTAACAGTAGCATGGAAGCCTACCGCCGTCCCGATCACTTGGATCCAGTTTTAATGAGCTCCAGTTCTTATATCCCAGCCCATACACCTCCGATATTGTCCGAGTCTCGAGGTCAACAGTCGCCACAGCATTGTTCTCCTGTCAACAATAGTAACATCTTTAGCGGAAATATTATTTACTTAAGTGAATTGTGTTAGGAACCGCACTGAACAATCTTAAAGGCTTAATGTTGTTGGAAATCCAAAAGTGGAAGTAGATAGATTCCCTGCATTTTCAACTTCATTTACATATTTGGGAACATGATTTACATGAACGAATTGTGTTTTGCACCGCCTAAAACTTCTTCTACAACTACTATTAATCCTGCTACTACTACTGCTACCACAACTACTGGGTCATTCAGAATGTCTTCTGGTATTTAAGCGATGCCGGATGGGGTTATAACATCCCTACCTGCAGCATTATGTACGCCTTGGTGTCGTCAGCGTTGATGGCGATGTATTCCGGTTCCACGTCGTTGGAGAAGGGGTTGTTGTTCTCCCTGTACACGTGACGGACGCCGGACTGTTCCAGGAATGGCACTCTGCGAACCGAGACATGTAATGGTACTTATCAATATGTTGCTTTAACGGATTAATTTTGTGCTTTGTTTCTGATAAAAAATCTTAGTTTTACATTTCTGTCAATACTTTTCGAATTAACATTGCTTTCTGAGCCTGGTTTACCAATGTCAACAGCTCAAACAAGGCTCACCATGTCCGCTCTATTGTTTATAGTAGGCCATTTGCTAATACCAAGGTAACGAATTTGCACTTCAGTCTGTACACATCTACATATAACTGTCAGTGAGTTATGGGACGTATCAACTAGTAGTCATTAATCAACAATACCTTGCATTGAATCTTTCAAAATTCAGAGTGGATATAATCATGTTGCCCTCAATACCCCAGGGGAAGTTGACGATGACGACGAGTCCCGGGGGGTCGATGATGTGGTTTGGGGGGTACTCGTACGCCTCGCCCTCTACCGCCACAATAATCTTGGAACAGTCCTTCGTCGGCTTGATCATGTCTGGGATAGCGCCCACTGGGAACACAGACCGATACGATTACATTGAGTAACTGACGGGCCTGCGTGCGTGCGCTCGCGTTTGTTCGTTCGTGAGTGAGTGCTCGCTAATTCTTACCTTTAACTTGCAGAACTTCACTGATCTGTTTGGTGGCTGGGTTGTATCTGAAGACTATCATCTTTCCATTGGCTCTCTCTGTTCTGTTGTCCATGGCCGTGAAGAAGTAACCCCCGCAGAACTCCACGTCAGTAAACTCCATGCCCGGATATTCCAGATGGGCCAAGACTATCATGTGGTTGGGGTTAGACACGTCGATAACGTGCACGACCGTGTCGCCTGGCAACCGAAAGTAACATAATGCGTCTTTACAAAGACGTTAAAGTTTTATAAAACATTCCCAGCCTTAAACATTCTGTTAGAGTCAGTGTTTCAATATATGCATGTAAATGTATCAGTTAAGCTGATAGAGATCTAGAGGATTGTTCCCCGGGCAAAAGACTAAACCAAGTCTCTGAAAATATAGAATCTTGATAGAACCAAAGAACCAAAGGTATCCCTAGTTAGTTTAAATCGAAAACCTAGACATAATTCATAAAAGTATTACAGAAAGGGCTGGTGCCTATGACAAAAACACGATTCAAGGATTATGGTGCCGCCTTCAGAGCGTCAATTAAGAATCGGCAGTCAAGAGAACGGCTGTATTTGGCAGTGAACTAGGTCAGTGGCCTTCCAAATACTATTATCAACATGTCGTCATGCTTTCAATTGGTGTATGTGATGTTAAGCGGTTAAATATAGACTATCGTGGTCGCTTGTCTGCCGATCTTCAGTAGCACTGTTATCACCTGATCAAAGTTCAAGGACGCAAAGAGTTTCCTTAAAAATCTAGGAAGATCATTCCACAATTTTGAGGATTTTCGTCTTTAATAATGTTTGTTGTTTGAGGCCATACCCAGCAATAGTCTAGTTGTATACAATGGAGCTGGGACCAGACAAACCCGAGACGTATGTTATAATATGCTATATATACGTTTAACCGCGTCTATTTGAAATCCAATATGGCGATATGATAATCTGCATATTGCACAAGGCCGACAAGGACTTTTCGTCGCCATATTAGAGTTAAAGCATTTCCCCTGCTGTATTGTTGACAATGTTGTGCTGCTGCAGCACTCAATGAGTCAATGCGTTTGTGACGGGTACCATCGATAAGAGCAGGATACGCTCACCTTTTCGCGAACACCTGGTGTCTTGACATGTTTGTTAGGGATTCATAAACACCTGCTCATCATATGGTCTGGGAGGCCTTATGAATATGGAAAGGGTTATGCTTTTTTTGCTCACAATTTTCTGGCACTATCTCTGCAAAGGACAAATTTCACACATTGCACTATGGTTGTTGTAGAATTCTCTACTAGATTCGCCAGTTCAACGCTACATCTGCAAGGCTAGCTAGCCAACCCTTTAATAATCAACTCAATATGTGCCCTTGTTGATTTAACACCTGTATTAACAGCAAGTGTCTGAAGTTCCATTAAAATAACCCATCCCAATTCAACTCACCAACTGTGTAAAGAAGTTTGTTGTCCGAATCATACGTAAGTTGTTCCACAGCCACTTCCGACAGTGAGTATTTTGGACCATTCTGGTAGGTGTACGGCAGAAATATCGATGAGCGCTTCCTCAGCTCCACGTCAATGTCAGCCACAGTTGCCGAGACAATCGCCAGACAAATCATAAGTCTGAAGACCATGGTGCAACTCTAGACGTGTCGAATGACGGTCCGGGTGTGACTGTCGGATGTGGCAAGTGCAGTGCTATATAAAGGAGGCAGACACGAGTTACATTCTCAGAAACCACGAGTGATGACGATGATTATTTAACTTTCATTTTTAAATTCAAGTTGTTGACAGACACTCACTTCTGATAAAATATAGTCTATTACAATCGTACACCGCACAGGTGTGATTTGTGAAGACTCTATGGCGAGGTTGGTGACAAAGGGTGATCGAGAATGGCATTGTTGTGTTGTTTCTCGTGACACCTGCTTGTGGGGGTACCAGGCAGTTTTTACATCCTCCGTTTCAAATCTGCAAAGGACTATGGTTGGTGAGTCTCAAGCCATGCGATGATCTTCGTGGAGAATCCTGGTAAGATTTCTGCTCCTGCTTGTTGTAAGTGCGACCAAACGGCTGGGGGTGTCAGACCCAGTGACATCATCCTCTGACGGTGTGTTCATAACATCGCTCTCTGGTTTATGGGTCCCAATCTCGATTCCTTACAGGCCGTCGTCATATAGCTGGAATATTGCTGAATACAGTGTTAAAGAACACGCAAACAATATAATAGCAAGGGAATGGGCAGTATTCGAAAGTTCAAGTATGATGTTTGAAGAGCATGACGCTTTATTCCAACACAGGAGGGGCGGTGGGGTAGCCCAGTGGTTAAAGCGTTCGCTCGTCACGCTGAAGGCCCGGGTTCGATTCCCCACATGGGTACATTGTGTGAAGCCCATTTCTGGTGTCCCCCGCCGTGATATTGCTGGAATATTGCTAAAAGCGGCGTAAAACCCAACTCACTCACTCACTCACTCCAACACAGGAGAATATAAATCAAACTGTTTAAACACCCGTTCAACTTCTTTTCAAGACTCGATGCTTAATAGATCGTGATTACCAGCTGATGTACATACCTGTATCGATACCGGGGCGGTGGGTTAGCACCTTATAGTGGGGTATTTTGTGTTTTCTACTATATTGTTTTATGCCGCAGTCAGTATTAGACCAACACTGCCACTTGAAACAAGTGGAGACCTGCTTAATATGATGAGCGATCTACGTACGCCGTTCGGGTACAGTGACGTGACATCAACCTAGTCCCCGATTCTGGCAATTTAGTGGTTAAAGCGTTCGCTCGTCATGTCGAAGACCCGGGTTCTATTTCCCCACATGGGTACAATGTGTGAAGCCCATTTCTGGTGTCCCCCGCCGCGATATTGCTGGAATATTGCTAAAAGTGGCGTAAATCCCAACTCACTCACTCACTGTATCGGTGCTACAATCTTCCACAGTGACTGTAAATATAATTGTCTCGGTAATTATATTGATCAGTTTTCACTTGACGGTAGTAGCCACAAGAGCCTTAGAATATTAACATGCCATACAGTGTGAATGTAGACGTTTAGACTACATTGCCCACTGCGCCACCGGGTTCCCATATTAATGATGAAAAGGCTATTATAAAACTGAAAGAGAACATACTGAAGAGGACGAGGTTTTTCCCACAATTTTGAGGGCACTATACGTATTGATTCTTGAGACCATGTGGCTAGGCAAGCACTTGCTTCTGTCATCCCACTTTACATCTGGACCAACTGCTAGATGAGGATCATTTTCACACTGGATATCCGGCCTCAGCCTTTTTGTCGAAGCTTGGCAATTGTTGCTGCTCAATGGATATTCGTATCACTGACGTCAGTGGTAATACTACTGCTGTATATTGAGTGAGTGAGTATGGTTTTACGCCGCTTTTAGCAATATTCCAGCAATATCACGGCGGGGGACACCGGAAATGGGCTTCACACATTGTACCCATGTGGGGAATCGAACCCGGGTCATCGGCGTGACGATCGAACGCTTTAACCACTAGGCTACCCCACCGCCCCTGCTGTATATTGTCCTGCCATTATAATTGTTGTACCATTGAACGCTGTACTGTGATTGTGAAGTGTACTGGCATTGTAATGACCATACATCAGTTGATTCGAGGTTTAAACTTAAACAATCTGCAAGTACAAGGTCATATTTCGATATAAAGCTTGTTTTGCGGTTGAATATTAATGGCCGAATCAGTGAGTGAGTTTGTTTTACGCCACTTTTTGCAATATTCCAGCAATATCATGGCGGGGGACACCACAAATGGGCTTCACACATTGTGCCCATGTGGGGAATCGAACACAGGTCTTCGGCGTGACGAGCGAACGCTTTAACCACTCTAAAATCAGCATGAATTTTGGATATGATGTGTGTCTATGCATCTGTCAAAACCCAGAATTGCATAACAGAAACTACATGCATAATTCTTGACTCCCCAAATAGGGGAATTGTGCATAATCGTACAGAAGTTTGGTTGCCTCAAAATTATGCTCCCAATTTCTACCATAACACGTGCCGAATGATTTACAAACTTAAGGCTCTGAATGTTGTAAAAATGACAAAACGACATTTGTGAGATATATGTAGGAACATAAGAATTCCATCAGTAGCAACCTGATTTGTCACTTATAGCGCAATTTAATCAGCATAAATTCTTTGGTTTAGAAGACTGAATAGCATAATGCAATTTATTGTTATCACGCGAGTAACAATGGCAACACACATAACTTCAGGTACAAACAGCCACTCTTCTATAACATAGACAACACAACCATCCCTTACAATAGGAATTCAGACATGTTTAAAAAGAAACGTTATATTTCAGTATCCGTGTTCAAAGAAATTAAAAGAATTTACATGTTAAATTAAACGCAGCTGTACTCACCAACCGTATAAGGATTGTGTGTACACAGATGAAGTCGTGTGTTCTGCCGATGTCGCAGTCAAATCTGAAGAACGCTGTTGTTGTACGTATTACATACAGGGATCGTTGTCTGTTTCTTAAATTTGACTACCAAATTAAAATCGACATCCAAATGTGACACGGAACTAAAAACATTTTAAAAAACGTCACCAAGCTGCTTGGTTCAGACTTAGCTGGGATGAAGTCGTTATCCTAGCAAGCCCCAGTAGTCAAGTTCATGTCTTTTATAACAACCCTTAAGAGGTCGACTTTGGTCACAGAAAGCACGTTAACACCCATTTTATATACTGTATACTTGATTGCGCGTAGGCTCTTTACAAAATGGTACTTTAATGGGCTTTTTTAGTGGACATCTTAACAGTGTTAGGCTCGTGTAAGTATACTCGATGCTAGGGAAAACCTAACCCAGTGATACTGAAATATCGTAAAGGAAAAGCACTGTTGTGTAGGGCTAGGAAAATGTCAGTATATAATGTGTCACCTTGTCACCATACTCCCTACCATTCTCCTGATGAAGGAGCAAGCATACACTCCGAAACGTCGTGTTATTCGCAATAAAGAAGTTGACATCCATAAATCATGCCTTTCTCCATCATTTTTTCAGATTTGCAAACATTGTTCATGAATTCATATCATTTGAAAGAAATGGTTTAACTGTTTGAATATGTATCAATGTGAGTATGACTCCACAGGGTATACCGTTATATAGCTATGTCACTAGGAAGTCATGTAACTACCACATGTTGTTTCTTAATACAATCAACTCCAAAATTTGGATTGTCCCCCAACCTCTGAAATACATACGGCAGACTCTGGTCAGTTTTTCATCCATCATTAACTTGGGGAATGGAGTTCTTAGTACTTTGTCGCTAATTCCTTAATACACTGATAAAGAAAAGTAATTTCACCAAGCCATGATGTCACCCCCTGCAGGAGACCGCAAAGTACCGGGCTTTCTTCCTGACCACCATTCACACATGTTTCTAGAGTTTAATCAAAATTCGTATTTTGAGAAACGGAATGAATAGAATAGGTGGTTGAAACGTTCTGTGAGGTGTGAATTGTATTTCCTTAACAGTTTCCACCTTGTATCAGTTCCCATGCTTACATGCCGCAAGAGAACCAAACACAAAACGAGGCCGGTTATTTGTACATTTAAGTCTCTAGGTATTTTCTGTTAACTAGAAAACCCTGCTTCTGTATATGCAACTGAAATCTCCAACAGCTATTCTTGCAGACATAGTGTCTGATTAGGCACCCCAATGTTAAGGGTTTGCAAAGGAGTTTATATAGGGAAGAGAGAGAACGCTCCGAAGATGATCCAAACTCAGGACGACCTTCAGCTGCAACTGCTTAGATAAAATATTTATAAAATATGATGTGATTATGGATGATCGACGACTCATCAACGACATAGCCAGTACAGTAGACATCTCTCATGAGGATCCGGGAAAGAGTTTTCAGAATACACTGGGCATGACAAGGTTTACAGCAGGCTGGGTTCTAATTCTTGCGGTTCTTGATCCGGTACATTCCAACGTTTTATACCTTGTCGTTTGGAAGGAGAGACAGGTGATTTTGGAGAGCGATTTGTAATAACGGATATCTTGGCTTCAGCACGGATCAGATGGAGACATGAGATCAAGTAGTAGTTACAAATAAAGACGTCACGGAAAATACTTTTGGTTATTCTTTGGGATCCATTGGTGCCATCAGTGACCAGTTTGCTTAGGCGAATGCGTGAGATGGCCAAAATGGTTATCGTGGAAATCTAACATGCATTTTGTTGCTGAAAACACAGTGTCCATGTGCATAGATATTGCTAAAGTGCAGGGCTGTGTTTGAACACCCTATACACTACAAAAAATGCAGAAGAACATTTTTTTATGGACAGACAACTTGCAACAGATGCGACGGTTCGGTGCAGATCCTAACTCCGTAATCAAGCAAATGATCCACAGGGATCTACACCGAAAAGTCGCACCTTTTGCAATAAAGAAGTTGTCTATCCATAAAAAGTGTTCCTCTTCATCACATCAGCTTCTTAATGCCACTTGGGTACAATGTGTGGAGCCCATTTCTGGTGTCCCCCGCCGTGATATTGCTGGAATATTGCTTAAAGCGGCGTAAAACCATACTCACGCACTCTAAATGCTTCTTAAAGAAGAAACTACA